TAAACCAAATGTCAATACTGGTTTTGTCTGAACACACACGAGTCTTTTATCACAGACATCAGAGTATAATTTAAAGGAGCAGTGACACTCCGAGCAAATCTATAGCCCAACAGGAAATAGGAAAGCCCAATCAGTCTTTTTTCAGCATCGGCAGTATAAAAACAAAATCAGGGAGTGCAGCAAAATGCCGCCTGCCTACTTTTGTTTATACAGAATGCCCCTTTTTCGGGGCAATGGGGGGCGTGAGCAAGTAACAAAACGTGTAGCTCAGCGTGTGACGTAAACAGTGACGTGGGAGGGAAGCCACGGCTGGTCAGTCCTTCAGTGATTCTCTCGTAAGTCGGCCCGTCCTTCACCGTCCCCGTCATCTGACGGTTAATGGCCTCTTTGTTTGCGAGGACAAGGAGGGCACGCAATTCCTTGTCTCCCCAGTTGCTCATCTTTACAGTGTCTGTCAGGTTTGTTTCCCTCTTGCTACTAGCTGCTCGCTAATTCCTGCTATCAGCTGTTTCCTGTTTATCCACCGCCAGTGGCTCGCACGTGCGGCGTCATCACCAGCTCCTCCCACAAGTCATCAACAGCCCCTCCCGTTGTGGAAGGCCGCCTAGGTCTGTTTAAACTAAAAAGGCTCCGCCAATATGTCTACCCTACGAGGCGGATAATTGGGCACCTTGGATCAACTCGCCAATCCGGCTCTGTGTGTCTAAACGCTCGCAGCTTGCCAGCAAAACGGCCCAACATTCACCGAAAATCTGGCAGTGTAAAAGAGGCTTATGATTCAGGGTTTAAGCCATGATTGTGTGCACATGGTTCTCTACATGGAGGTTGTTGAGTCGGCTAGTAGCTAATGGTGCTAACTCAATAAACAGCAGGAAGAACAGCAACTGTGCCGACTGAGCTTATGGTGTTTGCCAGGAGAGATACAGAGGGTGGAGCTAATCTTCCTCGACAACCTGACAGCAGTAACCATCGTACGAGTGCAGTAATGTTGGATTATTGGTTGAACTACCGTTGGCAGGTAAAAAGACGACAGACTCCTCCTAGTGTCCTCCTGGATATCGTACATCATGCAGCACTGTCAGGTTCTGTTCATGGTTGTTGCTGATTGGTGTTGAGTTGGAGTTAATCTCCATTTTATCACTGAATATTTTGAATTCCTCAGTGTTCCTATTCACCTTCTCAAGTAACTGAGAAATGATCTCTTCAGCCCCAAATATTCAGGCAGCATCTCACTTCATCTTCAGTCCAGGTTTCTTCTCTGCCACTCCACATTTTGCAGCACACACACTCAAGGGCTGCTGGTTCTTGACCAGTCACCAAAACAGGAAAAAAGTTTGAAAGTTTTGAAAGTTGAAAACGCTGTAAATGTTGTGGGGATGGATGAAATCAGATTCAAAACAATACAACACCATGTACCAACATTCGCACTCCCACCTCGTCACATATTGGTCAAGGACTTTCTACAAGGTACAGGGTACCCTAGGTGTGTTGGTTGTTGACATTCTGGGTTGGTATTCAATGACTTTGGAGTGAGACTGGGTATATATAACACAAATTTAATGTGTGTTCCTTATATCTGCTAGCTCAGTGTTGATATCGTGCAAGTGTACGATCACGTCAGTCAGTCTGCGCTCCACATCATGATAAATGAAGGAAAACAGCACTTTAATGAGTGAACCTTTCATTTGAAAGTAGATGCTTTGACAGGCATTTATCTAAAATGAGTGCAACAGAAACACATCAAATAGCCACCAATAATCATTTATATATATTAAACAAAGGGGTCGGTAGGCAGATAGAGTTTAAAATCTCCAACATCTTTTTCCTTGACATTTAGAAAGTTCAGTATTTCATATCTTTTTAAAAGATGCAAAAAGTTCCCTCCACACTCCCTGCACCCATATTCAGTTATTTAGCTAACATCTAATGCACTTCATGGTTGAATGTTTTCCCATTAATGACCCTTTCAAACACGCAGCATGAGAAGTTTGTTTCCAAAATGTCACAAATCCTGACATAAATGTCATTGATCTCATTTCGCCCAGGACTTTCCTTTAAATAGCACCATTTTGTTCTATCAATCAGTTCGCAGAGTCGGTGAGATGCTTACTGTCACATTTTGGATTCAAACACTTCACACCCAGCTGCTGGTTTCCTCCCAGTCTGCGCCTAAACAGACGAAATGAGGAACCTACGATCAGTCCGACAGCACCACGGCACCATGCATCAGGGCACAAAACGTCCCCATTAGTGCCCATTAACTTCACATTACAGACGACAGGAGAAGAAGTCACAACAGCAGAACAGTCAGAGTAAATTTACATACATGACATTCATTTTTTGTTTTTCCCTCTCTGTGGGTTTAACAGTCCGACTCAAGACTGGAGAGCAAAGAAATGAAACCGCTGTTTTTAAATCAGGTTTGTCTTTGTGTTACAATGCTTCAGCCACACTGCAGTGAAAGGGTTACATGGAGAACTACGAATAACTAAATAATATTTTTTTGTATTAAATATTGTGTGAGATCTCAGGCTGTGACACATCACTAATGTACTTAGACTTGAGAACTGTGAACCACATGAGCTTTGTCACTGTGCGACTGCAGAGATGGAAATTGATAAAATTGTCTGTATACCTGCAGTGCAATTACACTTTAAGGGGAAACTGAATTGTCCACATCTCCATGTACCAGAGCCAGAATAATTACCACTAACTTGCAGACTCACATGAATAAGATGGGTGTCTAGGTTGTTGTAAGTCAGTCACAGAAATAAGAACTCTTAAATCAACATAAGTCATATGTCAGTCACTGGTGATTGATTGAGAGAAACGAACCCCACAAACAGCAAAGATAATGTCAGACAGAATGTTGAAGCAAAAACAAAATGGCAGTTCAGTCTGATATCAGGTCAGGTTTGAGCTTTTAAAGGTACCGTAAATTAAATCCAGATAGACTCATCAGTTATTGTATTAGCTATGTAGAAAGTTCAAGCACATCAGCTCTCAAACACTGTTTGAATGACACAGAGAGTTCAGTGAGTTTGCATTTTATCATGTCATACTGTCAGACTGTAGTTTCCAGCAGCAGCCTGGTTGTAAACAGGTGAAACTCAGCTCAGGGCATGTTCGTACCATCAAGTGTTTGTTTTTGTCACTGACAGGCTCACTGTTATTCTAGGTGTCTGATGACATTAAGGAGATCCCTACAGAGATAGACCTTTTTGTTTAAGAGCAAGATCCTTCTTGTTTAACCAAAAACAGCCTAAGAAACCAAAGCTGGTGTTGGAACAGTAGACAGATGAACCAAGATGGCTAAACCGGCTAACTTCTGGTTTAGCTCTCTGCTAACTTGCCTTGGGATAAAGTTATTCAATCATGTGTGAGTGGCTAACTTCCTGTTAAGCACTACGCTAACTTGAATGAGGATAAAAAAATTATAAAATCATCTTTGAGTAGCTAACTTCTGGTTTAGCTCTCTGCTAACTTGACTGGGGATAAAGTTATTCAATCATGTACAAGCGGCTAACTTCCTGTTAAGCACTATGCTAACTTGACTGGGGATAAAGTTATTCAATCATGTGCGCATGGCTAACTTCCTGTTAAGCACTACGCTAACTTGAATGAGGATAAAAAATGATTAAATCCTCTGTGAGCAGCTAACTTCTGGTTTAGCTCTCTGCTAACTTTAATGGGGATAAAATTACTCAATCACGCCTGAGCAGCTAACTTCTAGTTTAGAACTCTGCTAACCTGAATGGCGAGAAAGTTATACAATCACGTACGAGCGGCTAGCTTCCTGTTAAGCACTACGCTAACTTGAATGAGGATAAAAAAATAAAATCCTCTGTGAGTAGCTAACTCCTGGTTTAGCACTCTGCTAACTTGACTGGGGATAAAATGATTTAATTTTGCAGCTGTTCTAGTTCAAATCCGAACAATAATAAGTCATTTTGCGGAGGTTGTGCTGCTCAGAAATATGTATCCACTGATTTACAGACACTTCTTTTAAGTGAGATCACATGACAGACCCAGATGTTGTAAGTCCACCTTTGGCCACTATGTAAAATTAGCTTCAAAGTCTGGCCTTCGTCCTGAGGGCTTGAGTAAAAGCTGTGCTAAGGTAATCCTTCACTTAAAAAATATTCATTCTGATGACACGTTAGCTGTTTTCCAGTCATGTGGCGTTTGACAAAGAAATATGTTAGAAAGAAAAAAAAAAAAAAAAGGTTTTATTTCTGTAGGTTGACTTACAACAGGGGTGGCTAAACTACGGCCCATGGGCCAACTGTGGCCCGCTGCCCATTGTTAAATGGCTCACTGTGAATTCATAAATAGCATAAATAACATATTTCTAATAAGCTGAACCGTATGTACATCGCACAGCCTGGTTTAAACACAATGTTGCTGTCATCTCGAACCACCATCAGATAACTTCTGGGAACTCCAATAAATTACTGTAATGTCAAATGTTAAACTGTTTAGTAGTGTTGTATTTTAATATTCAAAGAAAATTAATTTTCTATGGCAAATGGGCTTTTCTAATCTAGAAACACTGACTTTCTCGCCGTGTAACTGTTTGAAAACTTTGCATTTACAACTGTTTGGCCCGCAACTCTTTTTGTTTTTCTGTATATGGTCAACTATCAAAATATCGGCCGACCCGGACTTACAACAACCTGAAAAGCTGCATCAATCTCTCACAACTAAAATTATCATTTTCATGGCATTTTCATGGAAAACTGAGTTTCCCATTCTTATAACAGCCTACAAAGTCCTGATGGACTGCGGTCAATCATCAGCAGACGTATTAGAATCACTGAATAAGAGAAGAGGTTATTTGTAAAAACAGGTAAATGCCAGCCATTTTAAAAATGAATTTACCGACATTGGTTTGATTGATATTCCCTGGAGTGTGCAAAAAGGAAGAAATAATAAATAAAAATATAAAATATTTATAATATAAAAATATAAATAAATAAAATAAAAACATGATTTAGGAAAATAAATACAAATGTAAATATCAAATGAACAATGACCCCTTGATTGGGAGCTGTGGGACATTGTGGGTCATCAGGGACATCTCTGCCATTTGTATGTCTTAATAAAAGGTTTCAGCTGCTGATAAACATATTCAGGTTTTCTCACGTCATGTGATTGGCTGATCAGCACAGTGCTATCCAATCATATGCTGCTTCTCATTAAGGCTGATTCATGAATTGAACTCTCCAGAGCCGCAGAAAGAAAATCACGTCTTCAGACTGTCTCCAAACCCCAGCAGAGATTTTTCTTTTCAACATTATAAATGTTAATGAACTAACATGCTTGTACAAAAGAAGATTACACAACATCTTTGTAAAATAAAACCAATACTTCACCTCGTTAGGATGTTGCCAGGCAACACATAAGAGTTGTTTGTGGAAATGTTTGTCAGAGAGAGACTTTTCAGAAGGGACGAGTCACTTCCAATAACGTCAGTGTCAGAAAACAATGAATTTCAGTGACGGTTTATGTTTCTGAGAACAACTGTTAGCTGTGAAAACATCTCACTGTAAGTCGCTTTAGTTTAAGAAGTAAATGTTACTGTATGGATCAAGAACATGTGGCCATCTTTACTTTTATTAATGCCTATAAATGCATGCTGGGTAAATAAAAATGGTGTCAGCTGTCAAACTAAAAACAAGATGTTTGACTTTTTTTGACTGAGGCATCAGTCAGTACTGGGTAGTACAGGTGAGTGGTCTCTTACTGGTTGGAATTACTCCCAGATATCCTGTCAACAACATGTTAAGCGTTGGCGACGATGTGCTTTGTGTCTAACTATGACACTGATGTGATAAAAGTGACAAGTCCTCTCTGAAGCCGCAGCACCCCGAATCACTGGACGATACTGTTTTAGTGACAAAAGGACAAACTCAACAGTCACATCACGTCACATCATGAAACAACTCATGGTTCATAAAGTGCATAAAACAAACTATAGAAAAAAAACAACAGGCGTCTGATAAAAACCTACATGTTTTATACATTGTATAAATAAAGTTTTTCTTTGTGCATGCAGTTAGTAACGCCACGGCTCAGCTGATAGGATAAGGTGAGCTCTCTTCTTCTGCATTTCTTCGTATTTTCCTCCTCTGACACTTCCTTCATCGTCCTCTTCCTCCTCATCCGTCTGCAGACTCGTCAGGTTTCATGATCTGGTATGTGATCAGGTACTCTGGATACGCCTGTGGGCAGCAAAGAGGCATTCACTGACAGTAAAAACAAAGACTTAAGACACCAGCAAAGCGCAAAGCCCGCACTAAAATGATACAGGAAGTAGATAGTTTGATTGTAAAGCTGTGTCAAATTTTTGGATGCACCACCAAGACTTAAGGTTCATCTGAGCTACTCTGGTGTTAAGTGGACAGTTTAATTCCCTTTTCATTCGGAATGAAAGTTCATTCCTATTAAATGTGATCTTGTAAACACCTAATTCGGAATGAAAATGGCCAAAGAGATTGAAAATTCAATACGATGTAAGGGGCTGGAATATTCCGTTTCTAATTCCGAATGAAAGAATTTCTCGCACTTGTATACACTCATTCCTCTTTAAGTTCATTCCGGTCTTTCTGCGCATGCTCGTTTCCTTGACCTTCTGGCGCGATGACGTGTATGGCGCGCGTGACTGATATGTAGCAACAGGCTGAGATAGAGCAGTCAGACTCGTTGCACTCACCGGTTTCCATTCACCACAGCACGGTCTTCTAACTCCCTTCTTCGACCTTCTACCTCCCTTCTCCTCCTCAACAGACGAAGCATTAGCAGAACAAGGTTGTTGTCGTACTGCTGCTTCAAGAATATAAGCAAAACAAGCCCGAAAAAGGCACTAAGAACAGCGTCGTCAAGCATCTTGTTATCCGGAGCGAGGACTACAGTGTTTTCTTCCAGTAAACGTAAACACGTAACATCCGCCCCGCCCCCTATCCAATCAGAAACCTTCCCTGCCCCAAACTTGCGTGGACTGGAATAAAGGCGATTAAACTGATCTCCCGTGTAAACCCTCATTGGGAATGAATATTTCCCATGTAAACTACCTGGAAAGACTTTAATTCCGAATGATTTAATTCAGATTTATTTCATTCTGAATGAGAAGTCATCATATAACCGAACCCACTGTCTCAGAAAATGATATTTTCACTTCCTGTGGCCAATCAGTGAAAAGCACTATTCTGTCTGATGGCTAAAAATGCTAACGTTAATCAGCAAACAACAAAAAGGTTCGTAAACAAGGACAAAGCATTATGATTAGGTGATAACTACACAACCTTAACCTACATCCAGAATAACAACAGTGACCTAGGTCTTACACCTAGCACCTAGGTGAACTTATTCCCATGTCCAACTATTTTTGCAACGGTTAAAGTCCAGGTAAAGCAAAAATAAATATGTGTCATTAAGAATTTGGCTAAATCTGTATATTTAAAAAAAAGTCGACAAGTTTATAAAATTACGTTTTAAAATCATGAAAAAATAGGCTGCTCTGAGAAACTGGGGGCGTGTCCGCTGAATGCACTGAGGCCACGCCCACTCACAGGAAGCACTGAAGCCACGCCCACTCACAGGAAAGCTGCAGCCTCTTTTAATCATAGCACTATGATGGATGCTTCATCTAGCAGCTTTTTTGGACTAGAACAGCCACAAATGTTTGAGCCACCAGAGCCAGAATCAAATTTAGAGCCAGAGTACTCTGACCTGCCTGAAAATCCACTTGGTACTGCTCGGTCTGCGACAGAACGGCAAGGGCTCTGGTTCTGATACAGTGTAGGGGCGGGGCTTATGCTAAGGGTTGCTCCATTGTGTCACTGGGCAGGCTTTTAGCCCTGTCCAAAAAATCTGGACACAGAAATGGTGAAGAACAGTTTAATGGTCTAACTCTACGATTCAGTGGGGTAAGATGGGGGAAGACGCCCCCCTTAAGAATAAAGTCAATTTACTGCAAAATTAAAAAATATCTGGATCTGATTTTAGCATTCGTAGGATGGCAGAACGGTCTGCAACGGTGTTTGGGTGGGTGGAGCATGTCAGGTGGTATCCACATGAATGCCAAAACCAAAGGTTTCCCAGCAGAACAATGCATTGGAACAACATAATCAGAGTAATTCACTTTGGTTTGAATGTTTTGCTGATCAGTGTAGTTCCCCATCTTTACACATGTTTTTAACAAGTGTTTTCTAACCTGTAAAATGTGCCTGATGTAACTTTCAGATTTTATTTCACCTAACTTTAAAATGTTAGTAACTCTGGCCTGAGTTATAAATTACGTTCAGACAAGGTGACATCTGAGTTTATGCATAACTGGTGCGACACAGTGCAGAACTGTGCTGATGTTTGGGCCTCCCGATGAGTCAGTGGTATAACTGACAGACTTCGGCCTTGTCATTAACAGTGATCTCATGTTGTGTCATGTGGTTTTGTATCTGGTCTAATCTTCTGGGTTGTCAGTGGTCCGGCTACAAAATTTCCACCAAATCACAAAGACTGAGAAACAGACACTGTGATAATGTGAGACGGCTGAGTGAAGAGCAGCCTGCAGCTCCACATCTCTGCAGTCCCGCTGCTCTCCAGACATCAGCTTTGTAATTCCACACACTAATAGCACCGCTGATTGCTCGAGTGGACATCTATTCACGCTGGATCGTGAAGTGCCACTTATGAACAGCTACGGGTTTCAGCAGAAGACATTATATGTCCAAATGACTGAGCACAAGCTGTGCTCTCCACTTATACAACGACTAAGTGATATACAGTACAGGCCAAAAGTTTGGACACACCTTCTCATTCAATGCGTTTTGTTTATTTTCATGACTATTTACATTGTAGATTCTCACTGAAGGCATCAAAACTATGAATGAACACATGTGGAGTTATGTACTTAACAAAAAAAGGTGAAATAACTGAAAACATGTTTTATATTCTAGTTTCTTCAAAATAGCCACCCTTTGCTCTGATTACTGCTTTGCACACTCTTGGCATTCTCTCCATGAGCTTCAAGAGGTAGTCACCTGAAATGGTTTTCCAACAGTCTTGAAGGAGTTCCCAGAGGTGTTTAGCACTTGTTGGCCCCTTTGCCTTCACTCTGCGGTCCAGCTCACCCCAAACCATCTCGATTGGGTTCAGGTCCGGTGACTGTGGAGGCCAGGTCATCTGCCGCAGCACTCCATCACTCTCCTTCTTGGTCAAATAGCCCTTACACAGCCTGGAGGTGTGTTTGGGGTCATTGTCCTGTTGAAAAATAAATGATCGTCCAACTAAACGCAAACCGGATGGGATGGCATGTCGCTGCAGGATGCTGTGGTAGCCATGCTGGTTCAGTGTGCCTTCAATTTTGAATAAATCCCCAACAGTGTCACCAGCAAAACACCCCCACACCATCACACCTCCTCCTCCATGCTTCACAGTGGGAACCAGGCATGTGGAATCCATCCGTTCACCTTTTCTGCGTCTCACAAAGACACGGCGGTTGGAACCAAAGATCTCAAATTTGGACTCATCAGACCAAAGCACAGATTTCCACTGGTCTAATGTCCATTCCTTGTGTTTCTTGGCCCAAACAAATCTCTTCTGCTTGTTGCCTCTCCTTAGCAGTGGTTTCCTAGCAGCTATTTGACCATGAAGGCCTGATTCGCGCAGTCTCCTCTTAACAGTTGTTCTAGAGATGGGTCTGCTGCTAGAACTCTGTGTGGCATTCATCTGGTCTCTGATCTGAGCTGCTGTTAACTTGCCATTTCTGAGGCTGGTGACTCGGATGAACTTATCCTCAGAAGCAGAGGTGACTCTTGGTCTTCCTTTCCTGGGTCGGTCCTCATGTGTGCCAGTTTCGTTGTAGCGCTTGATGGTTTTTGCGACTCCACTTGGGGACACATTTAAAGTTTTTGCAATTTTCCGGACTGACTGACCTTCATTTCTTAAAGTAATGATGGCCACTCGTTTTTCTTTAGTTAGCTGATTGGTTCTTGCCATAATATGAATTTTAACAGTTGTCCAATAGGGCTGTCGGCTGTGTATTAACCTGACTTCTGCACAACACAACTGATGGTCCCAACCCCATTGATAAAGCAAGAAATTCCACTAATTAACCCTGATAAGGCACACCTGTGAAGTGGAAACCATTTCAGGTGACTACCTCTTGAAGCTCATGGAGAGAATGCCAAGAGTGTGCAAAGCAGTAATCAGAGCAAAGGGTGGCTATTTTGAAGAAACTAGAATATAAAACATGTTTTCAGTTATTTCAACTTTTTTTGTTAAGTACATAACTCCACATGTGTTCATTCATAGTTTTGATGCCTTCAGTGAGAATCTACAATGTAAATAGTCATGAAAATAAAAAAAACGCATTGAATGAGAAGGTGTGTCCAAACTTTTGGCCTGTACTGTATATAGAATATATGTAAGGGTTAATGCCCTACGAGGTGTCCATTATCAGGAATGAATGAACTTTGCGGAAGTCCGTTCATTCCTGATAATGGACACCTCGAAGGGCATTAACCCGCTTATACCATGGTCACTTACCAAAGAAATGAATATTAAATAAATGATTTATGCTTTAATGTTTTTCACAGTAAAAATCATGAGTTTTTCACAAGCCACAGCTGAGCGGACTATTTAATCTATGTAGCCATGGAAACACGCTGTGGCTGTGGCTGCAACCAAAACAAAGTGTGTCATGAGCCACTCCTCCCTCTACCTCTGCTTCTTCCCACTTTAACCTGAATAACAAACCAGGGCTCGGTGCTCCAGTTGGATCCAAACAGAGAGCCGGGCTAGTTGGGAAGCTAGCGGAGGCTTACTGGCTGTGCTTCCCTCCAGTCATGCTGCGGCTAACGCCTCGCCAGCCGCTCCCAGCTAGCTCCGGTTTGTTATTCAGGTTAAAGTGGGAGAGGCAGCGGATCTGTGGGGCAGCTGAGTGAAGTGGAGCCTGAGGAGGAAGCACCGGTTAGCCCCGGTTTCGTTCCGCTCTCTGCCATTTCATTTCGAAAATATGCACTGCCACTGCTCACTGGCTGTAGCCTTTTATAGGGAGGGAGGGCCAAGGGCTCCGGGAGGAAGTGGGGGGGGGGTTCACATGAACGTACATGAACGCACAGCCGGACCGGCTTGTAAACAAGGGGCTGGAGATCAACACAGAGAGAGGGTGTGTGAGGTCATGATATACTCCAGATGAAGTTACACCTCTAGTTCTTCACATAGCAATTTTTTAATTCCTTCAATCTAGAAATGATGAATTTTGCTTATTGCTCCTTTAAAATTAAATGCTACATTACCATTAATAGTGAAATTTGAAAGTGATATGGTGATAAAGTGATGTTGGGCTCATCCTTGTCATCTTCTAAATTATTTAATTCTTCCGGTGTCACCTCCTTGTGCCGTTTTTCCCTTTTCTTTTCATTCTCTAACCTCTCTTCTTCTGCATCCCAGTCATCAAAATGATCAAATTCACCAAATAAATTAAATAAAATGATAAAATTACTTATGATGCCCGTTGTAATCTGTTGCCTCTGCTCTGAGTCTCTGTTGCTATGGTTACAAACTAGCAGTTAAGCCAGTGCAATAATTTAGAACCTGTCATCAGGCAATTTGACCGGAACGGCTTTTTAGCCGTTAGACTAAACATCCTGAGGCACTATTGATAATATCAGGAGACTTCAACCATGTTTCCCTCTCCTATCACCTGACTGGATTTACACAGTTTGTTAACTGTTCAACCAGAGAAAATAAAACCCTTGATCTGCTGTATGCCAATGTCAAAGAAGCTTACAGAGCCACTGCCTTACCACCATTGGGCAGGTCAGATCACAACTTGGCACAGACTTCCTGTGTTGTGCCGGTACCAAAAATTAAATGTCCAGCTGAACTACATGACTTCAGACCAGTAGTCCTTACTTCGCTCTTCATGAAGACCTTGGAGCGGCTGATTCTACGCCTACTGAGACTTGAGGTCAAAGACAAACTCAACCCCCTGCAGTTTGCATACAAACAATACACTGGAGTGAACGATGCTGTCCTCTATGCTTCACCATGCCCTAGCTCATCTGGAGGAACCCGGCACTTATGTGAGAATCATGTTCTTTGATTTTTCAAGCGCATTCTACACCATCCAACCCAACATACTCAAAGACAAGCTCACAGAGATGGCAGTGGATTCTTCCTTTATCTCCTGGATCACAGATTACCTGACAGGAAGGCCACAGTATGTCAGGTTGGGGAACTGTGTTTCTGGGACATTAATGAGCAGCACGGGGGCTCCACAAGGGACTGTCCTGGCTCCATTCCTGTTCACACTGTGAACGGCGGACTTCAAATACAGCTCTGAGTCCTGCCACATCCACAAATACTCGGACGACACTGCTATTGTGGCATGTATCAGGAATGGGCAGGAGTCTGAATATAGGGACCTGATAAAAGCCTTCAGTGAGTGGAGTCACAAGAACTGTCTCCTCCTGAACACCTCAAAGACCAAGGAAATGATCAAAGATTTCCGCAGGTCCAAGCCCCCTCTTCAGACAGTAAATACCTGTGGGGTGGAAATCAAGGTGGTGCCAAACTATAAGTATCTAGGTGTACACCTGGATAATAAGTTGGACTGGTCCCTAAACACAGATGCTCTCTACAAAAAAGGGCAGAGCCGACTCTTTTTCTTGAGGAAGCTCAGATCTCTAGACATCTGTAGTAAGATGCTGCAGATGTTTTATCAGTCTGTGGTGGCCAGTGTGTTGTTTTCTGCTGCAGTGTGCTGTTTTGCTGATTATTCGTCTTCTGAATTCCATTAATCTACAATAACAATAATTCTATCACTGAGAAAAATAACGGTAAAAAAACAAACAATTTTACAGGCATAAACATCCTGCCAACATGGATATGAAGGAGGAACTGACTGGATGTCCACAATCAGCACACACTAATGTTCATGTAAGCAGATTGTGAATATTTTGGATTTATTTATTACAATAAATGTCATGTATCAGCTCAGAGAGGGGCCCAAATGCAGAGCAGGAAGCAGGTGGATTTGGACCAAAAGGTGAGCTTTAATAAAGCCGATAAAAACATCCAAAACATGCAGGTAACTCAAAACCGAAAGAAAGGAGAACTAAAACATAAACTGAAACAGAACAATGAAGGCAGGGATGAACACAGATGAACTGACACAGGTACATACACAGAAGACTAATAACAAGGACAAGACACAGCTGGGGCCTGTATCACGAAGCAGGATTAATGTCTTAGCGAGGTAACTTCAGGGTTAACCCTGGGTTTTCGGTCTCACAAAGCCGGTTCAGTTCTTATCGGGGTAGATCACCATGGTAACTTACTCTGAACGGCTATCCTGCTCCGGAGCAGGGTAAGTTCAGGGTTGAATCTGATCCTATAAAAAGCACCACCCACTGGCCAATCAGCTGTTCGGAAAAAAATGACTCTGCTGACAGAAATGCAGCCCAGTCATGACGGGAAGTTTAATTCATTTGATTGATTTTGATTTGAAAGTTTATTTTGAACATTAAAAAAGAAAAGAAAGCAACAACAACAGACAATGAAAAGATTGTTCAAACAGGAGTGGAAAGAAGTGGAACTTTCATCCCACCCCTTCATAAGAAAGAAACTGATCATTTGCGGACACTTAATAGCACCATTAATTAGTGCCAACATTTTGTTTTGTTGGAGGAAATGATCCCTGTTAAAGATAATGGGCCTAATTGTCAGCTTTGCTGCTGGAAATGTGGAAAGTAGCCTATCATGTCTACACTTCATGGTGTTTGAGGGATTTTCCTTTATGTTTTTTAAAGAGGGAGACTAGGTATATTTTTACGCAGCTGTTAATTTCTAACACAGCTCAATATCAGGATGATTTTATTCAGACTATCAATTTGGTGTTGATATGATTTAATTGTGGCGTCAGCTTTAAGCTTTATTGTAGCATATATAGCGTTATGACAAAGAAGACCAATTTATCAGACGCAATGATGTTAGACGATAATTGTAATACACGCAATTCATCTGCGCAGCATTGATTTCATGGGATTCAAGGGTGTGATCAGTGTCAGATGTACAGGTACAGGTACTGTAGCTACTTGAACCAGTGATGAGTCATTTAACCTACACATCATTTTATTTGCTACCTTGTTTTGTCTTGATTTTTCCCTCTCTCCTCCTCTATTTCTTCTTTCCTGACCCGTTTTTTTCCTTCTCTATTATGTAATTTCATTGATGTTTTGACAGGGGAATTTCTTTGATAAGCTTTTAGTGGCTTCTAACCTCTCCGGCACTTTTCTTTTTTTAATCTTGTAAATTTTATACTGTCTGTTTTTAACATTATGTGCAAATAAACTAATCTAAACAAAAACGAAACATCATCCCGTTATGTGTTGCCACGCATGTTTCCTCCTCCTGCAGCTGCCACGGTGTTGGCCTTTTCATGTTGCTTTTCTCCTCCTCATATTTTAGTAGAATTAATCTCTGATCCTCACGAGAAATACTTTTTTTTCCCTCACATACAGCGCTCTGTGAGGACGCTCAGTGACGCTGCACTTCTTTCAAGATTGTGATTTGTCCGCTGCATGCGCGTTCACGGCTCTTGATAAAGCAACCCTGGGTTGAGTTACCGAGTTGATATCCAGCGTCATGATACCGATTATCCTAATTGCCATTGTTGTCTCGCTTCGTGATACAGGCCCCTGGAGGTGGACACGGGCAAAGAGAGGGAAACAGATTGGCTGACAACAAGGATGTGGTGGGAGGGTAGAGCAAACAAGACTAATATGGAACAGGTGTGAAGGGAAGGACTAACGAGACTGATGAGGACAGGTGTGACAGGAAACAGGCGGGAAAGCACACAAAGACAGGAAGTAAAACTCAATAAAACAGGAAATAGATGAATAACAGTAAAACAAAGAACACAAACCGAAAACTCTGAAACAGAGTCCATGAGATAACAGCATATAAACAGAAACACAGGATCATGACAATAAATAAAATAAACATGTATAATCATGTATGAGACGAGTTACCCACCTGCTCTCCTCTGTAGATGACGTACTCGGCCAGAGCGAGACCGTTCACGCTTGGCCTGCCGGTGACAGAGTGGTGACCCGGCGGTGAGTGAGCCATCTTCATGGCACTGAACTGCAGGAAGGACTTCCCCAGAGTCACCCTGCAGAACAACAGGTGCCTGCCAGGGACAAAAAGAGACGCTGACACAAAGTGCATTATACTGTGTGGAAACACTATAGAGAGATATATACACAGTTATTTATTCAGTACATATTGATTTTAGATTTATTGGAGGTTTGATTGTAACAGTTTGTCTCAAGATGACATGAGCTTACGTTTCTTCTTCTCTGAGGGGGAAAACAAAGCATTCGCTACCATGCTGTACAGTTGCTATGCAAATCAAGAGTTAAGGGGAATTTTAAACACGTACCATATTTTATCATGTTTCTGTGTCAGGTGACTAAAGGGAACAATATTTTGTGGCCAAACAGGTTGTGATGTCACCATTCTGGGATTGTTGGCACCGTCAATTTATGTTGACTAAAAGTGTTTGTTTTTGCCACTAGCCATGTTTCCATCAGCCTGTTTAGATGCACATCTAGAAGTATCGCATCGGAAAATTATGATGGAAACACCAAAATTCGAATTAAAATCCCCTGATTCACACAAACTAAAATATGCTCGCTTTAGCCCTGTTTTGGTTGATTTGAAAAAATGTTGATTCGCAAAACAGGGAGATGGAAACAGATATGTTCAAATTAAGTCTGTCGTAGCGCACCTCTCTCCATGGTGATATCCACACTCCAGGTCGGGAAGGCGGTAATGCATTTACAAGCTGGTTGCCAACGGCCAGAAAACGTAGAAAAAGAAGAATGTGAGACTTGTTTTGTTTCCGGTTCTGCGGAAAACTCGAGCAAGTTCGTAGTTTTCACCAAAGTCCGCACATTTAATGGAAACACACAGGATTCGTATTTCTTTTAATGCGCATTTCCCAAAGATTCCAATCACTTTTGGATGGAAACATAGTTGTCTCCAAACATGCACAGAATTCATTAAAACATTTAAGTCTACGACATCTCGGCTATAAATGTAAATTTTGATTTAGAGATCTCGACAGCATTAAACTGCTAATTTAAAATGACGTGAAATACAAGCGGTCTTTCCTTGTAGTCAAGCGCTCCACTGACTGACATTTTAATGTACTGTGATGTAAATGTTTTGTCTTCCATTTTATTTTCTGTTGGCTTCGCTGACTGCGTACCCTCTGGTCCCCAATGGTTAGCTAACGTTAGCCTTGGCACCTCTGCACTGAGCACCACCCGGGTCAGGTGGAAGCTAACGTTAGCTAACGGCACTGCTCATTTGGAGATTACTATAAGTAGGCTCCAAAAATAATAAAAAATACCTGACCTTCAGACACCTAGCACATAGTTACAGTTGCTAAGGAAATGATTTGACAGACACTGATTAGATGTTTTGTGATGTAAACGTTTTGTCTGTTATTTTATTTTCTGTTGGCTTCGCTGACTGCGTACCCCCCGGTCTCCAATGGTTAGCTAACGTTAGCCTTGGGAGCTCTGCACTGAGCACCACCCAGGTCAGGTGGAAGCTAACGTTAGCTAACGGCACTGCTCATTTGGGGATTAGGCTACTATAATTAGTCTCCAAAAATAATAAAAAATACCTGACCTTCAAACACCTAACACGTAGTTACAGTTGCTAAGGAAATGATTGGACAGACACTGATTAGAGGTGGGGTTTAGAGAACGGTCAGTTTTGTTAATAATGTGAGAATGTGTGTTTTCCTTTGATGTTTGAAACTCACTAAGGCAGCTTTGAAAATGAAGTGAATCTCGACAAAGACTTGTTAAACTGACATATTTAAATCATTCACTTGAAAACGCCTAACAAAAAGAGTAAAACATGCTGTACTGTGAGGGGGAGGAGTCCTGAAGGCACACCTGTGGCAGATGTAGCAGCAGCGGTCTTTGTGCAGTGGGCAGCCTGTCCCCCCTCCGATCCCGTGAACGTACTGGTTGCTCTTTGACGAGTTCTCGGCAAAGTAGATCCCGGCGCCGAACATCCCGCCGATGTAGGCGTGACGCTCGTCAAAGCCTTTGTGGATGATGGCGTTGACGAACGGAGAGCCTGGGAGGGAAACGTCACAGTGCCATCGATACAAATTCAACTGGTATGAACATTACTATCACTACTGCTACTACTACTACTACGACTTCTCCTGCTGCTGTTACCAGTACTACTGCTGTCACTGCTCCACCTAATGTGATGACTGCTACTCTTCTACTTCCATTATTGCCACTACTCCCAAACCACCTGTACTGCTACTGTTACACGCACTATTTAGTATTACTGTTACTACAACTGTAATTACTGGCTTTTCTATCATGACTAACTGTACTACTGTTATGACACTTCTACTACCACTATTGCTTCTATCACTACAACAACTACTAGTATTGCAGGCTGCTACTACTGCTACACATTATCATTGTTATTACTGTTTCTCCTCATCCTAACCCTAATACTACTGCTACTACTGATAATACAGTTAATATTCTGACCATGGAAGAGCATGCGCTCATTGGAGTGGTTGTGGTTTTCCTCTGAAACTTCCTTCCTGCGGTGAGTGTACCTCTCCCACAGCTTCTTGTTGCAAACCTTCTGGATCTGAAAGACAAGAGGTCAGACGCAGGTCAACTGGAGGTGCAGACAGTGATCAGGACATCACGCGACTGCAGGAACACATCAGTTAATTAATACAAATGGTTTTCTTGCACGTGACTGAATGGATAGATGTTGGTCAGTCGGACCACTAACTAACTACTGGTTTTGTCCAGATGTTAATGTCTGTTCTCTGTGTTTAGTGCTAATTATGTTAGTAGGGATGCACTGACTTTCAGCTGCATATTCGCCATTTTGACTGCCGTCGGCCTATTGACGAATAAGATGACATTCACTGCTCACTGCAGTGGTCAATGTTTTTCTGTTGAGTCATATTGATTTTGCGCAGGCTAAAAAGCTGTCCTCAAAACTTAAAACCCCATCATCCCAGGGATTGTACTGAGTTACATTATGATGCCTTCAAGCTATGTTAGAGGTGGGTGATAAGGCTCTAAAATAATATGATGATAATCCAGGGTATTTCTGCAACAAAATTCTTAACAATGTGACAAAGTTTGCATCAAATATCCAGTAAAAAGTACAGAAAAATCATCTCATCATTTCTTTAGTCTGTGAATAACAGCAACTCCGAGTGAGTAGAAACGTCCACAAACAAAACAAAGTTTGAATTTTAGAAACTTTTGTACATCTGTTGCCTGAATTAGACAAAAAGGAACTGCAGATTCATTGAGGTGCTGTGAGTCACTGTCACAAAACACAAAGGACTATGTAATCAAATAAGTTACAGAAGATCTGTTTTGTCTTGTTGAAATGTTTCTTCTAAACACAAAATATCAATCAAAGCAGGTAAAGTGACACATTTCCAACTCTTAACAGGAACGGTAACACTTTACTTGAAGGTATCAACATAAGGGTGACATGACACTGTCATAACTACAACATGACACTGTCATGAACTTGTCATGAACATTATGTACATGTCATAAACATTTATGACTGCTGTCATTAAATGTCATTCATTTTTTGTAATGACAAGTTGACATTGTTTGGGTTTCTTGATTATGACAACATGACATGAATGACATTACCAGAAGATGTCTTTGTCTTATGACAACTTGTCATTAACATAAAGACATCTTCTGGTAATGTCATCCTGCTTAATGTCAAGTTGTCATAATAAGGACATCCCAAACAATGTCAACTTATCATTACAAAAACCAAATGACACTTAATGACAGCAGTCATAAATGTTTATGACATGTACATAATGTTCATGACAGGTTCATGACAGTGTCATGTCATAGCTATGACAGTGTCATATCACTGTTATGTAGATACCTTAAAGTAAAGTGTTACCACAGGAACTTCTTGTATGTGTGTTTGACATTCGCAGCAGTGCAAACACAAAGTTCACACTCTGACTTTAACTGTGATCTCTGTGTTATTTTAATTCTATTTGATAAAGTCTGAATAGAAACAAATGTTACCTTGACCAGGTTGTATCTGTTGAAGACTCCTCCAGCATGGCCGCCGTCTCGGTGCTCCCTGATTGTACTCTGCATCTGGTCAACAAAAACAAGCTTCTCATTGGTCACATCTGAAGGTCATGTGATAAACCACAAGAAGAAGAAGGCAGGACGACGATTCCCTCTCCGACAACATTCTTACTGCGCTTTCATTTTATTGATGTCTATAAAAAATCAGTATCTGATCATTCCAGACCCTGTAAAGGTTCGACTCCTCGGTGCAGCTTAACTTCGCTGCACATTAATCATTCACTCACACAGACTCTCAGTGTGACAGTTAATTAATATTATCTTCAGTACACTGGCAGTGACTGGGGAGGGATTATTTTGTACTTTTCTATTTTTTTCTCTCTCACCCTGATTTATGATTAATCAGTCCATGTTTCTTTGGATTCATAGATGCCACTGATACACGCTCCTGCTTACCTCACATTCCTGCAATGACCATTCAGCACTGCACTTTTGTTACATTGAAAAATCGCAATAAAAAAAAATTGAACTGAAAAGAAAATGTAGGAGCTGGCATGAAATACAATTAAAAATCACTCAATGAAAATGGTGAGTTGTTACACTCTTGTTCAACCAAATTCTCATCGCTAGTGTCACCCTCTGTAGTGTTCAGTGTGTCAGACTTTTCTGACACACAGTATAAAAACAAAATTGGGGAGTGCAGTAAAATGCCGCCTACCTACTTTTATTTATACAGAATGTGCCTTTTTCGGGGCAATGGGGGGCGTGAGCAAGTAACAAAACGTGTAGCTCAGCGTGTGACGTAAACAGTGACATGGGAGGGAAGCCGCGGCTGGTCAGTCCTTCAGCGATTCTCTCATAAGTCGGCCCGTTCTTCACCGTCCCCGTCATCTGACGGTTAATGGCCTCTTCGTTTGCGAGGACAAGGAGGGCGCACAATTCCTTGTCTCCCCAGTTGCTCATCTTTACAGTGTCTGTCAGGTTTGTGTTTCCCTCTTGCTACTAGCTGCTCGCTAATTCCTGCTATCAGCTGTTTCCTGTTTATCCACCGCCAGTGGCTCGCACGTGTGGCATCATCAACAGCTCCTCCCACAAGTCATCAACAGCTCCTCCCACAAGTCATCAACAGCTCCTCCCGTGGCGGAAGAGCGCCTCATTCTTTTAAAACTAAAAAGGTTCCACCAATATGTCTACCCTACACGGGGGAAAATTGGGCACCTCGGATCAACTCGCCAATCCGGCTCTGTGTGTCTAAACGCTCGCAGCTTGCCGACAAAACAGCCCAACATTCGCTGAAAATCTGGCAGTGTAAAAGGGGCTACAGAGGCACAGCTCAGCTGGGTGCCCCCAGTATTGGAGTTCGCAGATTATTCTCAGATAATATTACAGTAGACCTCACATTTATTTTTCACCTAAGGCATTCCACCTGCCTGAACACAGACTGATGTCGAGCCCTGTGACAGACACACACAACGCCTCCACGTACAGTTCACTCATTTAGTTGACCTACAGGTAACAAGCATAATTTTTCTTTCCCATCGCCTGATCGATTGGTTGAATAGTAGGTGGAATTTCAGGCTTTTCTTTTTCTTTTTATAATAAGCAGTAGAACCTGTTTAAGAAAAAGCTCGTACCTCCTCCTCCACCGACTGGAACTCTTTGTCGTCAGCTGCGAGGTCGATCAGGATTGTCCCACTGTTGGCTGTATTCAACGTCAGGTAGGGGTTGAGACCTGACAAACACACACACACACACACACACACACACATCAAGATAAAACTTCACTTTTCATTTGATGCAGGAAGACAAGAAGACATGAGTAATGTGATGTGCATTAAACTGCGTGTTAAAGGTTACATCTTCAAGTGTGTGTGACTGTGTGTGTGTCCTCACTCTGCGGCCCGCTGATGAGCCTCTCCACTCCCTTGATGATCTTGTGTCGGTGTCCGTAGGCGTTGATGCCGATCTCCTTCAGCTCACGGTGACCCATCTCCACCAGCACATCCAGAGTGATCTGTAGACACACACACACACACACACACACACACACACGTGCGTTAGTGATGAAATTGTTAAAGTTGCCATATGATGTGCTCACAGCTTGTTCTGCTGCTCTTGTGTTGCTGATCTCACCTGCTCTCTGTCAAAGATCTCCAGAAGATGCTCCAGTCCCAGATTCTTCAAGAACTGACAGATGCTGAACTCAACTCCTGGAACTACACACACACACACACACACACACACACAGCTGTAATTTGATGTTATCACTTTATGTAGTCTGAGGAGTTTTCTAGCAAAGACAACGTTCACTGTACGACTTCTCAATCTCAAACAGTCAACAATGACCAGCAATGAACTTCCTTCCTCCCTTTTACAATAGATTTTAAGATTTTGCTGATCACTTCATGGTCTCTGTCCAAGGTATATCTCCAACCTCTTAGCACCGTACACACCAGGACGTACTTTGAGGTCCTCTGAGGCAGCAGAGGTCGTCTGTCTGTCTGTTCCAGAGGCTGAAAACTTAAGGGGACAGCGTTTGCTGTCGGGGGCCCGAGGCTCTGGACATTTGATTGTACTTTCGAGTCGAATGCTCACAGTTGAGTCAGGTTCATTAAGTCAGATTTTATCAAAATAAGGACGTCCTAATTTTGCAAGTGCCAATATCTGCTGGGTTAAAAGCCGGAGTCGGACTGGCTATCGGGAGCTCTGGTAGGATGGGACCTTTTTGGTGCACCAGCAAAAATCAGTAAAAGTAGTGACCAAGTAGTTTGTTTTGTATAAACTAAGATCTAAACCTTAAAACAGAGGTGGCATCAGAAAGTCTTTTGGGAAACAACTCTGAAGTTGTTTAGGTTTGAGGACTTCTTTATTCACTCACCTTCCTCTTTCTTCTCAGCACCCAGTGAGCCTTCGACCGCCGACAGCAGCGCCGACATCTCAGGGAACGCAGAAGACGAGGGCTGCGGTGTAGACGACGAGCTTGAAGTGTTAGAAGCTGCGGTGGCGCTGCTGTTGGTCGCAGCCGCTGCTGTGGCTTCAAGACCTGAGGAGGAGGAAGAGGAGGAGGAAGAAGAGGAAGAAGAGGACAGAAGTGGTGGGACCATGGCAATGGGTGGAGCACCAGAGGCCGACGCTGCCACGCTGATGACCTGAGGTTTATAACAGCCGGGGAGAGCAGAGGGAGGCATGGCGGCGGTTAACAACGCCCGGACATCATCCGCCTGCAGGAAGAGGAGGAGGAGGAGGGGGGGGGGGGGGGGGGGGAGAGGGAGCGGGGGGGGGGGGGGGGGGGGGGGGGGGGGGGGGGGGGGGGGGGGGGGGGGGGCAAGCAGAAGATGATAATGAAAAGAAAGAGTGAATGATGAAAAGGAAAGGAAGGATACAGAAGGGGTGGAGAACATGGGAGACAATGAGGAAAAGAGAGGAGGAAGAGAAGTTAAGAGAATCCATCTTGAGATCATTCTGTATGTTTTTCAGTGGACTGTCCCTTTAAATCAAAGAGGCGGACCGTGACCAAGTCAAGCGATGACTGTCCTTCCTGGTTGCGGAGGGTGGGGTCTGCCCCGTGAGCCAATAGGAGGGCGCAGAGCTGCGTGCGGCCCTTCTGAGCAGCCTCGTGCAGCGGAGTGAACGCCCACTTATCTGTGGCGTTGACGCAGGCGTCGTACTTGATGAGCAGAGCGGCCACGTCTACGTGCTGGAACATAAATACAGGAAGAAAACTGAATGAATGAGTCTGACATAAAAGTTCATCTTCGTCGTGTTCATCAGTTTCATTTTAAAGTCTGTGAGGCTGCTGTGAGGCGCAGCAGTGTGGTCATAACGCCTCCAGTTTGGAGAAGCAGACAGGAGTACAGACATAGACGAACCCAAGGTGATATGTAAACTCATCTTCATTGGTCGACTACAAACATGACGTATCATCTGAAACATGGAAGTAGCTACATGCCCATTAGCCCACAGCGTCATTAACAGGCGGCTCGCTCAGTGTGTGACATGCACTTGGAGATAAAATATAAGCCTATATTAATGAAGGTTCATTCATGAGCTCTTTCTTCAGACACAAACAGTCCTCAAACGTCTGTTCTCAGCTCAACAGCTCTCATTGTGCCGCCTTGTTTAAATAAAACCTGTTTGTTCTTCTCCCCCCAAAAAATCAGAGGCCGACGAACGGAGAGAACTTCAAGGTCATAAAATACAAAACTGTGGTTTGTGATGGAGGTGATGTAAGAGATGAAGAGATGCAAGGATGAGCTGAGAGAGAGGTGGAGGGAAGAAAATGAGTCTCTGCTGATCGGACTAGACAAGAGGCCTGGAGTGCTACACACACACACACACACACACACGTATCATTTCACTCCTCATCAAGGGTGTGTGCTTTTGCCCACTTTCAGTCTCTTCAATCATCAGATCATCAATCAGAGGACTGAATCAAAGAGGACAAAGCCAGAGCTGAGTAACACCCTCCTCAAGATGAAGCGGTCTGGTCAGAAACTGAAACTGTTCCCACAGGCAACCAGCTAAAATTAGTCGAAAGTTTTCACAGTTTGGTTCAGGTTGGTGTTTGGATTGCTATTTGTTAATTATATAAAGAGGCGTGATGATGCCGGTGTTATTGAGCATAGGCTTTATCTTTATCTCATTAATGTTTCTTATTCAGGTCTTTCTTAGAAAAGAGACCTTAACCTCAATCACTGCGTAATTATATAAAGGTAGAAAAATAAATAAATACAGAGGAGGAGAACAGAATATGAAACAGCCTTTATTTCATTAAAAACTAAATGAGAACAGTGAAATAGGAGCGCTATTCCTGACCAGCGCGTCAAAAGACATGCAGGCCAGGGAAACGAAACAAACAACCCCATGAATCTCTTTATTAATAGCCTATAAAATGACGTGTTTTCTCCTGCGGGACGGGAGAAGACACAAAATCAATGCATCTCTGTTATTGTGCAGGCATAGATTCTCAGAGTTTTGAGGGAGTGGGCGGTAATGGTCAGAAATTCAGCGGGAGCGGGCAGGAGCGGGGTGAAGAAAACACAAAACTACTGTGAGTGGCTCAAATAACACTACTAAATAACATAAAATAAACAAAGTTAACGAATGAAACAAATGAATTTAACAAATGAATCACTTGGCCATAATATTGCTGTGGAGGAAGAGAATGTTGCTGACCGACTGCGGTCCCAATCCCGTGCGTCTCTCTTCCAAGATGCACCCACAGACACTAAAGGCCCGCTCTGAAGGAGCACTGGATGCGGGGATACTGAAGATGAAACGCGCCAGCTTTGAGAGCGCTGGGAAGTAGAGGGCTCAGTGCGCCTTCAGACCTTGTTTGAGCTTCTTTTCCACATCATTTGTTAACTCCATCCTGTCGCTATAGGCTACATCCCGATCCCACAGTGTTTTTTTAGCTGCCTGTTCCCGCCCGCAGCAAAGTTCAAACCGCCCGCTCCCGCAAGAACAGCCCTCTATTTTGTTGTCATGAACAACTGTACCATGTTGCATTGCTGTATGTGTGTGTTATCCCCTCTCACCCCATAGGAGGCAGCGTTGTGCAGAGGAATCAGTCCTCCTTTATCTTGAGAGTTGACCTCAGCTCCGTGCTGCAGCAGGTACTCCGCCACCTCCAGGTTGTTATAGCCCGCTGTGACACACACAGAGGGAGGGAGAGTTAGGTGCACTATTAAAAAAAAATATTTCTGTCTGTCCTGCTTCAAATTGTTAAATTTGCAAACAGTTTTTTATAATTTAGTCCCAGCAAGAGTTAAACTGACTACATGTGCAATAACTGTATCAGTCTGCCTGGCTTATAATTTACTCATCAAGCTCCAGTCAGAAGACTGCAGGACACTCAGGAGAATGTGTGTCCTCTTGTGCTAGCTTTTGAGCTTTTGGAGATCCAGATTGAGGTCTAGACCTGCACTGTGAGGACATTTTGTCTTGTCCGCACTTTTTCGAACAGCTTTTTGTGTGTGTGTGTTTCAGTACCAGCCAGGTGCAGCGGTGTGGAGTGTCTCCCCTGTGTGTCTCTGCAGTTGACGTTGTCGTGCGTGCAGAGTTTCTTCACTCGGGCCAGGCAGCCTTTCTTGGCGGCGTCCAGCAGCGCGGCGTCGCCCCGCAGCAGGTCCTGGATGTCCGTGTCGGCGTCCTTCACCAGATCTAGAGGGGTGTTCCCGTCCCGGTTCTTCCGGGTCGGGTCAGCACCGTGCTGGAGATAACAGGAAACATTAGTGAGAGCTTTGATCTGAAACAATAAACCCTCACCTGTCTGAGCACGAGCCCATGTTAGTGTGTGCGTGTGTGTGTGTGTGTGTGCATACCTGCAGCAGGAGTTTACAGATGTCATATTTGCCCTTGGCGGCAGCTTCGTGCAGCGGTGTGAACTTCCAGAGGTCGGCCACGTTCACCACAGCGCCATGGAGGACCAACAACTCAGCGACCTCATAGTGACCGTATGAGCAGGCGTTATGGAGAGGAACCAGACCGCTGACACACACACAGAGACACACTCTGTCACTTTGTGCTAGTGTGTATGTAATGTAATAATTTAACAGGGATGTGAAACAGTTTACAGTTAACACAGTCATCCTTGGTCACTGGTTGTCGCTGTGATATTTTCTCTTTCTAACTTCAACCTTATTTTCAAGAACAATTTGCCAAATCTTAGAGAATACGTTCAACTCCTTATTCAGAATATACTGCACTATATTTACCCTCTGCTATTTTATGTGTCCACCCTGAGTGTGTCAATGTTTGCTCCATGTAGAGCCTCAAAAATCATGAATGGCATGTATGTGTACACTTCTTTCTGCTAACCACCCCCCAACTCAACGAGACTCTGCAGCTGTCAGCGATGGCACAAAATGAGGATGATAAGGAAGTGTCCGAAAGAGTCAGATAACTGCTCGCTATGGAGTAAACCACTGGGTGTCTGTTAGTGGTAGTGACGGAGTGAGCGGGAGAAAGAGGAGTTTAAGCTGAGTATTTTCAATTTCACATTCTGTAAATTATCAAATAAAAGCTGTATTTAAAGAAACAGTTTGGATTTTTTGAAGTGGGGTTGTATGTGGTACTTGTCCATAGTCAGTGTATTACCTACAGTAGATGTCAGTCGCACTCCTCCAGGAGCACTGACACAGGAGCAAAGCAATTTACTGCTGTGGAATTGAGCAGCAGCAAAACGTATTTTAGCCACCCAAAAAAAATCCACCAAGCGTCATGTACGAAGCACACACTGGACGTGTCACACTGCCGCTCATCAACAAACGACCACGCAAAGCTATTTCTACTTTTACTTACAGATCTGCACTTCCTCCTCCTCTGCGTTAGCTTAAAGTCATGTGTGGACAGCCACTGATTAAACTTGACTTCTCACCTGAAGAGCTGATCTCCAGAACTATGACTCATCAGGAAGTATCTTTTTGGCCTCTGTCTTTATAATGATGGGACTGTGGGTTGTTTAGCTCGGGATGTTTCTCGACCTTAACAACGAGTCTCTGCACATCCATTCTTTATCACACACGAGACACAGCTACAGAGATCTCTTTATAAGCAGTGGTGAGGAGAGGAGTCGAGCTGCCGCAAGAGCTGCTACGGGATCTGGTGTGTACAAGCAGAAAGTGTAGGAAAATGCAATTAATTCAGGGGGTGGTGAGGCTGGAAATAGGGGAGGCACGTCCAGGTGCACTGACACACATCAGCTGCCGCCGGTGTGTGGGGTTGTACATTGAAAATAACATATTTTTTGACCCGCGGCATTGTGTTTTGGGCTTAAGTTTGTTTGTGTTATTGACTTTGGGGACTTTGGTATTTCAACAGGGTTAGTTTGGATCCGTGCAGCTCCTGTGTTCAGCGATCCAAAATTAGTTGTTTTTTTTCCCAATGGAGTCTGGCTTTGAAGAGAGCGTAGATAATGGCGTCAGCTCCCCGTCAGAAATCACTATTTGACATTAAGGTAAAGCTGAGAAAATATTCCAGATGTAGTGCGCACTAAACTCATACTGACTTTTTCAGGGGGCTAACATATGTTTTGCTGCTGCCCCTGTCCGTAGCAGTACACTGCTTAACATATAAGAAAATACTGCTTTTGATCACCAGCACAGGTCACAGAGAAGAAACGTCGAAATGTTTCTTTCACAGCCGTTTGAGAGCGAGGACACGCTCACTCAACATAGGACCGAAATGGAAAAAACAAAGAATTTAAAGAACTCTGCCGGACTTATTCACCACTCTCAGAATAATCGTCCTCACCCTTTATCCTTGGCGTGCACGTCGGCTCCGTGCTGCAGCAGGAACTGGACAATAGCCAGCCGGTTGTAGCCGGCGGCAAAGTGCAGCGGCGTGGACTGTCGACCCTCCACATCCCTGCAGTTCACATTCTGCATTGTGCAGAGCTTCTACACAGGGGACGGAAAGAGAAAGAGAATGAAATGAACAAACTTTATCATCCACCAACATTCAGCTGTCAGACAGTCAAACTGAGAAGCTTCTTTTAGGGGTAATTTTAACTAACTGTGTTATTCTCCTCCTCTGCAGACACTCAGAGTTACACCTGTTCCTCTGCTCCTCACACAAGTCACAACATCGCAATACAATTAATATTGTTGTGAAGAGGCGCAAGTTCCCAAACAAACCTGCAGTTAATGAAACTGCAGTAGAACATGGCTGCCAGAGGGTGAGTTAAAGCTACATCTCTCTTACCTTGACAATGTCCAGATCTCCTGTTTTGGAGGCTTCCAGCAGCTGTCGGTCCACCTCAGAGTTCCCGATCAAAACTCCCTCTGCTGACAAATAAGAAATATAACACCATTAAACAATACTAATAACCACCTGACGGCTCTCTGCAGAGCTGCAGAGTGAGAGGAGTGTCTGGATGTGGATTTATTTTTCACTGTTAATTCTCATTTTGAGTTTTTTTTTCCATCTAAAGTCTGTAATGTTCTCTAATAAACACACACAGGGGTCTCATGGATAAAAGCACTGAAGGTTTCTGAGGTGTTTCCGAGAAATCAGGTTCTTCAGTTTGTTGGATGGCTCTAAAAACTACGATACCCATGAGCCTCAGCTGCAGTCGCTGTGGACAAGAAGCTTTTAGAAACTGAAATCACAGAGCAACACATGAACACAGTGCGGACAGGTGCAAAGGTTTACAATCTAAGTTATGTTTGATAATTACAGCCCTGTCAGCCTGACTTCAATGGCAGTTAATATTTGGTGTGTCGCAGCACTCCAGCTCTGGATCCTGAGAGCGTATGTCCAAACTGACACATGTAATTTACTGGTGCACTCCTAGTAAATGCTGTTATCCTGATACTAATGATCTGGGATGATCAGAGTGAACTCAGTGTCTAAAATGAGCCGCACACCTTGCAGTATCTCCTGCACGCTCTCGTTGCCCAGCTGTGAAGCTGACAGTCCCTGCAGTGACGTGAGCAGCGGGTCGCAGCCGGCGGTCAGCAGCAGTCTGCAGGTCTGCAGGTGTCCGCAGTGAGCAGCTCGATGCAGCGCCGTCTGGCCGAGGTGATCCACCGCATTCACCTGGAGGGAGGGGAAGGAAGGTCAGCCTCATCTGTTCAGGTTCTTAACAATGTTTGTCCTTCAGGGATCAAATTAGTTTTATTGCAGTAACAGACAGTTTAAAGAAGATAAACTTTTTATTGTTGAAGAACGTTAACAGCCACACGTTAAAGCAACATTTCAGCTTGCTCAACATGTTCAGGTTGCTCACCTTGGCTTCATGTTTGACCAAAACCTCGATGACGTCGTTGTGGGCTTTCTCTGACGCTATGTGGAGAGGGGTCAGCAGGCTGAGGGAGCACAGTGACATCACAACAGGCTCAGGTGCAAAGAATCTAAAAGCAATCTTTCCCAAATCTGTGTTATAATTAGGAGCCCGTGGTACCAACCACTCTTGTGAACACGTTATATGTTGCAGCTCTCCAGCCAATAAGTGACGTCAAATACAAGGGCAATTTTTGAGTCTTTTATAAAGAAATAAAATCAAGTGCTGGTCTCTTCTAATAGAAAGAGAAGGTCAACCCACTTTTAGACAAAGAAAACAATGATGAGTGCGGCAGCTGCCTCCGGTTTTAAAACTAAGGGCTGAATGGTAAACAGCACCTAGAGGCATAAGAGTGGAGGCTGCCGCACGGCAATAAATTACATCACCATAGTCTAGCAACGACAGATTGCTTCCACAATCTTCTTTCTACAAGATAGAGGAAAACAGGAATTGTTTCTGTATAAATCAAGTCTAATTCTTATTTTTTGTTGGTGCAATCAATATGTGCATTTTGTAAAGCACTGAAGAATGCTGCAGGTTTTCAAGGCATCACAGTGCTTTCTATTATCTACAGACAATGTTATTTAATATCAACATGACACTAGCCCTGCTTTTCTGCTCACTGACTGCGTCGGCTCGGTGCTTGCAAATTGGCTCTTGAGCGCCACTTGTGAACTGCTCAAAGAAGCAAGCCGAGAGACTCATGACACACTGCAGACTAAATATGTGAACCTGTCAGGGACCTTATCTCCAAGCTACAGCCAATGACAGCGCAAGACAAGGGTTGAGGACAGAGACAAGCACTGGTGTGACGCTTTACACAGTGTCTTTGTGTCTGTGTGTTTGAGAAAGAGAGAGGGTGGAAGGTGGACTACTGCAGGTAATCTTTCTTTAACTTATAAGCCTAATAACTTCCTGGGAATGCTGCTTTGTCATTTTTTTTAGCTTTGATATTTTCTAGTAAGCACCTGCAGAGCCTGAGCGGTGGTTCATCAGACTCCTGACTACATGACAGCAGGTGGTGTAGTGTCAACTGTGCAGCGATATGACAACTTTGAAAGTCGTGTAGTGTGATCTGAGCTTGAACTAAACCACAGACTTGTCAATACTCACTCTTTATTCTTCTCGTTGACGTTGGCACCCTTCCTCAACAGAATTTCACACACTTGTTTCCTCTTTGGGTACGGAGAGGCAGACGCACAATGCTGAGGTATTGAAACACACACATGTACACATGTTTTTAGTGGGAGGTGGTGTTTATTTTATGAGCTGTATCATTTAAGAACTAACTGCTTGAGAATTTACAGTAAATTAAAATAATAAAGACAGTTAGTTGAACTTTAATTGTGAATCTTTAAATGTTTAAATTTTAAGATGCAGTCCAGTGGTATTTATCAGCTCTGAGATAATTACACGATAGTGGAGCAGACAGTTTTTAAAGGTGCACTGAAGCTCGCAAGCAGCTGTGATGAATCCATATTACATCATCTGTGTGTCTACATGTTACCAGTGCGGTCTCCTGAGTGTGTGGATGTTTGAAGCTGATGGTCTCCAGATTCAGGTGCTTCTTGACTCGCAGCACGTCGGCCTCCCTGGCTGCCTGCAGCAGGCTGTGACCTCTGAACTCATCTGTCAGAGAGCACAGTCAACAACATTAACGATTCATGATGCACTGAGAGGACTGTCAGAGATCCTGACTCCACTGTAAAGAGTGAATCCCTCTGATTGTATCGAGGTGTTTTCAGCTCTGACTGAGTAATGACGAAGAAGAGAAGAAGTGATGTGATGTTTCTATCAGGTGTTTTTGTTTCTCAAATCAGGTCAGACCGCGTTATGTCTTCATATCTGAACAATGTATCTGTATTTACATCCCTAAAGGGCCGTCCACACCAAGAATAATAACTATGGTGATGTGAGCATCCACACTGATGAACAATAAAGTTCGAGTGTCTGCTGCTCGCTGCAGCTGTGCTGGCATCTTAGGAAAATGGATGTTGATGACCTGTTACTGATATACACTGTGCAGAGAAACAAAAAGAAATCCACAAGGATCTGAATTCAGGAAATTCTTCAAAAAGTGCTATGGGAGTCTTTTGAAGACAAATTTTATTCATACTTTCTTTCAGCATCAGTTCAATCATATCCTGGTGATTGTCAAAGAGGCCAAAGACTGCTTTTATCAATGTGAAATTTGCTGCCTAATATTTCGTTATAAAACTAAAGGTGACATCCTGTATTTTTTTAATGGATTTTGGGTGGCTGTCAGTGTTTCTATCGCTCATTACATCGCTCTGAATGTCATCCCAACAATATTGTTTGTTGTTGTTATAGCCTGCCCAGTTGCCAGAAGGAAATGCTGACATTGTACAGTTCTGCAAACCATGAATAGGTTACATTTGTACGCTTCATACTTACAATATCAACGTTTCTAAAGTGGCGTAAAGATATGAGCTGACTTTGTCACCAGGCAGTGGAGGTGACGGATGCTATGACACTGAGGTGAGATGCCTGCCAAGCTGTTTTTTACCGAGTCATTGCTGTTTTTCAAGAGGCTGTGCCTTTAAAACGAGGTATTTAAAGCCAATGATCATGATCTTTGCCGACAGTGTTTTTTGTGCCAAAAACTAACCACAAGTTAACCCCAGCTGTGCTGAAATGTAAAGAAATATAAAGTTTCAACCAATCTGCTACAAAATACCATGCAACTGTAACATGCATAGTTTGCAGAAACGTACAATGCCAATATTTTTTTCTGGTGATTGGGTTGTTATAATTGTGGTGTGGTCTTTGCATCACTTGAGTTGGAACAATTTTTAAAACATATATTTATATTTATCGTCACAGTTATTGTTCTCAGTGTGGATGGCCCCTAACACGCTGCAGATATGTACAATACGGTACAGTGCGGTGCAGTACGATACGACAAAGCATGGTATGGTACAGAGTGGTGCAGTGCAATGCGGTATGGTGCGATGCAATACAATAAGATATGGAACAATATGATACGAAACAATACGATATGAAATGATGAGATATGATACACTAGGATATAGTATGATTGTTGCATTGCGGTGGTGTGTGGTGCGATACAATACCATACTATACGATAAGATACAATATGGTACTGTACAATACGTCAGTTTACACTAAAATTAATTTTGCACCCTGAGGCAGTTCTGTTAAATAAATTTACACACATGTTAAACGCACAGTTACACACATCACCCTTCAGTATAGTAAGAAAGATAATGGAGGTAAACAGAACGTACAGGCCAGCCGCTCTTTAAGCTGCACGGTGGGAGCGAGGTCGATGGAGCTTTTATTGTGACAGTTGAGGAAGGTGGGGTCGGCTCCATAACTCAGCAGGAGAGAACACACCTAAACACAAAATACAAACAGTCACAACCGGCAGAGTACAAGAACAAGGACCTGGAAGTGTTTTTATTATACATATATTCAACTCATGCTGTTACTGAATTCTGGCATTAATATAGAAAATAAGATGATACTAACATGCTTTTGTTACATGAGGTTTACACATATTAACTTCTACACTGCATACATGTCCTGTAACTACGGTCTGATATTGTTTGAAATGTTTTGATACTACTGCCAGTACAATATCTGAGCTGTGGCATCAATACCAAAAATGTGTTATTCATACCTTTGAGAAATTTATTAAATTAGAAACTTTAAAAATTAAAAATGTTTAAACATTTAATTTAGCAAAAGAAACCATAGTTTCTTAAATTACTTAAATTACTAAATTAAACAGTCAGTAACAACAAAAATGTTAAGATTCAATGAAGGTATGTAACGCAGCATATTCACCAACCTGCTCCACTGAATTACAGTTTTGTGGTATTTGTATTTAACTTGAATATTTCCAATTTGCTATTTCATGCCTCTGCTTCAGCACATTTCAGAGGAAAATACGACACTTTTTGCTCCACTGCAAATAAAACTCCAAGTAAATCAAATCTGCACAGATGTGTGTTATTAACTGTGCTGCAGGAATTAATGAAACATTTTCTTCAGAATTTCCTGCCGGCATTTTAAAGACTACAGTCAGACTCTGATCACTGTTGTGAGGTCAGACTCCTGCTGCTTTTAAAATGAGACTGAAAACATATCAGACACACCCTGCTGCGTACAGCGACTCCTGTGTGGAGCGAGGATCATCATGTGGCTGTTGTAATTAGTTAAATAACTAATTAAGTAAAGTGGGGTTTAGAAAAGCGCCGTCCTGTACCTCAACACGGTTCTTCGAGGCAGCTTCATGAAGAGGAGTGAACTGCCACAGGTCCATGGCGTTAACACAGGCTCCATGCTGCACACAGAGAGAAGCTTTATTAGTTTAATGACCGGAAACATTAAACTTGTCGTCTGTGAGCTACACACAGAATTACTGCACTGCTCTGCTTTTAACATCATTTTCACATGTGCATGATGTCTAACTGAGTTTATTGAGCACATCATTAACAAAGTTATAATACTTAAGATTCTCATCAAATCAAACCACATGTTGATACTATATATGGTATTACATTTTCCAGCATGGATTCAGATTGCCTTCACACACAGGAAAAGACGCAGCCTATATCAGTGTTACTGTTTGATATTTCATCTGATTGAAATCAGCTTTACTGTTTACTGTTAGGTCTCCTGATGATAAGTTACTGCTAATGCTAACACAATGCTTCCTACTGCTGCTGCTTTACATTAAAACAATTCAACTGGACAAACATGGGGGCTTTTAATGTGAATTGTGGAGAAGTCACAGGAAATTCAAAGTATTTTGTCAAGCCGTGAAGGACAATTTCAGTTCCTGTATAAAAACAAGGTAAATTAACTGTTTTTAAGCAGCCAAAAATCTAAAATTATACATCTGACCAGAGTCCTCTACGATGTACAATTTATGATTTCTTAGAATAGTAATAATAAATCAATCATAAACTTTATTCATATAGCACCTTTCAAAACAGTTACAAAGTGCATGACAAAACCGAATAAAAGACAAAGCAAATAAAACAAGATAAAAGCAATAAAATAAAATACACATCACATAGTAAAAATAAATAAAAGGTCTGTTATATAACTTGGAGCGAGGCCTCTCAGGGCTTTATAAGTAATCAATAAAATCTTCAAATCAGTTCTGAAAGCCACAAGTTACTAGTGTAGGGACACACAATTACCATAATTTGAAATTGGAAACAAACCCCGTAAAACCCTTTCGAGAAAAAATACCAGTGGACATGCACTAGATTATACAAATATGACAACAATGACAAAAATTACAACAGGTAAACAAAGAAAACGTACCTTCACCAGCAGCTCAGTGACCTCATAGTGACCGTATGAACAGGCGTTATGAAGAGGAACCAAATCTCTGAAAGACAGAGGACACTGTATCGATACTGCTGCTTTTTACACACTGCTGCTGCTCATGATGATACTAAAGCTTGTCAGCAGCAGAATTTTGTGCCCTTCACTATTAAAAATCCAATTTTCCCTTTGAAGTTGTGAGGATTGGCCAGAATGTCCTCACTGTGCAGAAATGTCCTCGCTACGTTGTTTCAAATCATGGTCCCCACAAAGACAGTACTACAACACAAACACACTGATACTCTTTCTCTCTCTCTCTCTCTCTCTCTCACACACACACACACACACACACACACAAAAAGAGTCGTACCCCTTGTCCTTGGCGTGCACATCCGCACCGTGCTGCAGTAACAGTTGGACAGTCTTGACGCGGTTGTAGCCGGCGGCCAGGTGTAATGGTGTCGACTGAAACAACAGAGAGGACACTCAGAAGCACCAGCCCAAACTGCTTCACCCAACAGCTGCTACATCCATCCAGCTACACTGGCTAATAGACATGTGACAGAACTGTGATGAATGACATGACAATCCTCTACACTCTAGGTGCTGACACTGATCCAGAACTGGCCTGAGACCTGCTAACTGGAGCTGAATGAATGACCAAAATCTGCACCACCTGACTCGCAGCCAAATCTGGAGGACATATACAGGCCAGAACTGGCTCACATTGGGTCCTCTGGTGCCAGAACACAAGAAACGAAAACTCTGAAAAACCATTTTCCATAATTTATTGTTGTTTTGGAAACACCTTCATCCTGCTGGTGTTTCTGTCTGAAGAACAGATGAACTTGAGAGTTTATTTTAACAGTTATTTGACTGTCAATGACATAGACCTGGATATAAAAATGAATGTTACAATAACAATAATGTGGCAATATTTAATCGAATCAATAATCAACTAATCACTGTCATGTACTTCTTACAGCATCACTTAGAATGACTAAAACAAGACTTTAAAACACATGTAAACATGTTAGTCCGAGTGAAATTATACTAAATCAAGAGCATGGAAACATAGCCGTTCAGTGTTAAGGCCCTGACACACCAAGCCGACGGTCGGACGTCGACCAAAGTCGGGCCGTTGGTGAGCGTCTGTCGCCCTAGTTTATGCGGTGTGTCCCGCACTGTCGGCACTTTGGTGTCGGCGGCTTTTCGGCTGATTGAGCAAGTTGAATCGGCGGAGGAGCTTGTCGGTGAGAGAGATCACTCTGATTGGCTGTTCAGGTTTTATTTCCTCGCCCCTGTAGCGTGTGAATCTGTCTGTAGTGAAACCGGGGCTAACCGCTGCTTCCTCCTCAGGCTCCACTTCACTCAGCTGCCCCACAGATCCGCTGCTTCTTCACACTTTAACCTGAATAACAAACCGGAGCTAGCTGGGAGCGGCTAGTTAGCTGCAGCATGACGGAGGGAAGCACAGCCAGTTAGCCTCCGCTAGTCTCTGAGCTAGCCCCGGGCTCTCCGTTTGGATCCAACTGGAGCACCGAGCCCTGGTTTGTTATTCAGGTTAAAGTGGGAAGAAGCAGCAGGTTTATCGGGCAGCTGAGTGAAGTGGAGCCTGCGGAGGAAACACCGGGACCGTCTGGATATAATAGTCCGTGGAGGTGCTGAGGTGCTCGGCTGCACAGATAGGAAACCCCTCGGCTGACAGGATGTACCACTCTCTCACTCCGCTCTCTCTCACGCAGGCGCAGAAAGTACGTGCTACTTGGCCCTCGGATGTAGTCCGTGTGGTGTGTTCAAATGCAACTGACACAGGGTGACGTGAGGTGACATGAGGCGACGTGAGGAGACGCAACAGTTGGCTTTCATCACCGCTAGTTCTTTGATGTTGGTTTGGTGTGTCCACACCTTTACAGCGGACTCAAAATGTGTTTGTTTCTTTTAATCAAATCATAAATTCTAGTTGAGCTGTTCTACAATCTTTCCACGCATCTCCGCATCTCCAGCTGTAGAAGTACCCTTTTTGGTAGAGGTACCCCCGGCTGGGAGTCAATGCTGTGCAGAGCGCAATAACCTTGATCTGATTAGATTTATTAAGTGTGTCTGCACATTATAAGACCCAAACTAGCAACCAGAAACATTTGACATCATCTGTATGGAGACATGGAGACATTTTTAGAAATCTCTTAAAAGGTGTGTTCTTAAAGTGTAAAACTGTTATACAAAGTCTACAAAATCTGCCTGGCGTTTTGCTGCGACTCAAATTTAATCAAAATCTAATCATGAAAAGAAAGAAAACAATAACTGAGTTGACTTTTTACCTTTCTTCCGTCGCTGGCGTGACAGTTGACATTGAGCGGTGTCAGCAGAGCCATCAGCTTCTCCTCATTACCGCTCCTGTTCAGACATCAGCATCATGTTGATGAATAACATCCAAATAACAGTCACCTTCATTACTGATTCACTTGACACTTCTTTTCTCCATCAATCATGTAGATGTGTCAAGATGATATCGCCTCAAAACATCATGTATAACAAAGAAACACAGTAAATCATTTCATTTGAAAAGCTGGAGTCACTGAGGACATTTGTTTTCTTGAAAAATAACTGATTTATTGACTAACAGCTTCAGCTCTGATAACAGCGAACCAGTGAACAACACTCTGAGAGGTGTGTGTGTAAACAGCCTGATCAGGTAGATTTCATTATAAATCTGTTTACTTCTGTGCAGCTCAGATATGAAGTCATTCAGACAGTGAGATATACCGACCCGTTCTCATTCCCTGGTCATTAAACATAGACGCTATGTCACGCCTCTCTGCATCTCATAGTGACGCACAGGGCACCCTTTCACTTCCCTATGGTTCAGTCTCTCTTTTGAACTCAGTGAAGACTAATTTGGATCGATGTTTGATATATGGGTGTATATCTTCATTATTGAAACATTTAATCATTTTTGTTTAATACTGAGGACGAATTATGGGACAAACTACTTTTTACTTTTTTACTTACTGAAAGGCTTTACAGATAGTCTAATGTTAACTTTATCTACTTTATCACTATTACTTTTAAACAAATTATGTGCAAAATACAAAAACAATAATCCTGGTTTCTTGGATCAAAGGTATTCTGATCCTACCAAAATATTTTGAGCAACACAACTGAAGGTTTGATCCGGATCAAAATCAAGATCGGATTCCATGATCTAATCTCATTTCAGAATCTTTTCAAGATCTGATCTAACCCGATAGCCTAAATCTGACCAGATTACAGACGAGAACGGTCTTAATTTAGATTAAATCTACTGTACCTCGCACTCTCCAGAAGCTCATCTTTTCTGTATTCACCTGAAAAACAGTAAAAATCAGACAAAAAAATGTGTCTTTATCGTCAGCGTGTTCACGTTACAAGTCTGTTCTTCTATCATCGTGAGGACCAGTGTTTTTAAACTCAGGACACGTTGTGCTCCTCACCTGTCAGAACTGCTTTGGCCGACGGTTCTGCCAGATCCAGAGCCGTCCGACCATCTGTGTTCCTGATGGTCGGCTCGGCACCATGCTGCAGCAACACTACACACACACACACACACACACGAAAGATGTTTATTACAATATAGATGGAACAAGCCTCCCCTTTTGATGTAGTAACTTATTACCTCTGCCAAGGAGGTTTTGTTTTCGCCAACGTTCGTCTGTTTGTCTGTTTGTTTGTCTGCAAAATAACTCAAAAAGTTATAAATGGATTTTGATGAAATTTTCAGGAAAGGTGGCTAATGTGACAAGGAACAGATAATACAATTTTGGTGATCGATTGAAGCAAAGTGGATAAAATCATAAATAAAGTCTATCGTCTGACAGCCTCAGCAGCAATTCCAATTTCTAATGAGATATGAAAATAGCGCCATCTGGTGGCCGGAAAGCACGTCTTGCTCTACTTGCTAAATATTGTTGTAATTCTAAAGTTGAAATTAATGTTCTGTGTTGGAAAAAACATATTATATTCTGTGTTGGTACAAAAAAAATGACATAAATACACCACAGTGTCTCCATGGTGAAGGCATATATAACCTAAAAATGATAGTGATGCAAATAACCTAATTGTGATGCAGGCTGCAAAATCTGATGCAGAGGGGGAGGGAGTATCACCTGAGAGGGGGTTGGCTCTTAATCAAGCACATCAGTCACCTGAGAGACGATTGTGTTTGTGTCTTAATATTGACTGTTCTGCCCAATTAAAACTAATACAGTGTGTGAACCTCCTGTCTGGTTCTTGCTTTATTATGTGAAAGATTAATTTAAAAAAAAACATCCAATATACAAAACAAAAAAGGGGCTACCTTCATATTGCTGTGATTGGCTTACTTATTGTTATCATTTAAATCTGGTAAGAGGAGCTGGAAAATGATAATACCAACAAATAACACGCGTCACGTGTCAGTGACTGAATTAAGGACGCAAATCCCATATTTCGGACCTGTGTGTTAATGACAACAGAGTGAAAAAAATTGAATTTCCCCTCAGGGAGATTAACCCTTTGAAACCTGGAGCGACATCACTTTTCCTGTGCTGCTTTCAGACACATTTTGCAGGTATTTAAACCATTGAACCCGGAGCTTCTTTCAAAAACATGGGGAAAAATGAGCATTTTGGTAAGAAATGTCCCACAAATTGCAAAAAAAAGAATAGATTCCATTTTTTTAAGCCAGTTAAACAAAGCTAGGGAAAAACTACATATTTCAAAATTAGGTTAGATTTTTTTTTTTTTTTTTCAAATCAAGAATTTTTAAGTACTTTTCCTTGTTTGTTTTAAACTTTCTTTTTTTCTTTTTTGTTTAAATAATTTTCTTGTTTTTAATTTTCTCTTTCCACTAATTTTTGGGCCTTCTTCCTGTGCTTTTGAAAGAAATCAAGCCAATTTGCTCAGGTTTCAAAGGATTAATAAAGTATATAAAATAAAATAAAAATAAGTGTTCTAGCAGAGGCATTAATTAATGAGTGACACTAGACCCTTAAAACTAAATTTAGTTTAGTTTCAGTTTCAGCAGGATGAAAGCTGAAGTGTTTGGGGCTACATCATCTGCTCAGATTCAACCAAATGCTTCAAAACTCATTAGACGATGCTTCACAGTGCAGATGGACATTGACCTGAAGCATATTGCAAAAGCAACCAAAGACATTTTTAAGACAAAGAAAAGGAATGTTCTGTGATGGCCAAGTCATATCATCTGATCTGAATCCAATTGAGCATGCGTTTCTCTTGCTGAAGCCAAAACTGAGGGCAAAACACCCAAAACACAAGCAGGAAGTGCAGACGGCTGCAGTAAAGGGCTGGCAGAGCATCACCAGGGAAGAAACCCAGCATCTGATGATGCCTATGTGTCCAACACTTCAGGCAGTCATTGACTGTAAAGGATTTGCAACCAAGTATTAAAACTGACTGTTTAATTGATGATTATGTTAGTTTGTCCAAATACTTATGAGCCCTTAAAGTCGGGGGACTGTGTGAAGAAATGGTTGTAATTCCTAGATAGATAGATAGATATATAGATATATACACTGATCAGCCCAAACATTCAAACCACTGACAGGTAAACCTTTGGTTCTGGGGAATTTGGAGGCCAGGTTGGCACTTTGGGCCATTCCTGAGCGATGTTTTGAGGGGGGGTACTTGGTCTGCAACGGTGTTTGAGTGGGTGGAACACGTCAGGTGGTATCCACATGAATGCCAGAACCAAAGGTTTCCCAGCAGAACAATGCACTGGAACAAAATAATCAAAGTTATTCACTTCACCTGTCAGTGGTTTGAATGTATCTGCTGATACATTTTTTAACATAAACACTGAACATACATTCTCGAGACTGATCCCTTTGTTTTCTCATGAGTATACATACTGACTTTTTACAAAACAGACAAGACAGCGCTCTCTGGTGGACAAACCATGTAATTAAGACACTGTTTCTGAATTACATCAAACATGTCTTGTTACTTATCGGCTGACACAAACACTCGATGCATCTGCAATTTTGACTTTCGTAAAAGTGACTGAGGCATGTAAAATTCTCACTGTCACATTATCAGCCTTCCTCCTGTCAGAGTTTATTTTGCAGCAAAAAGAAGCTCAGCTGGTCCTGAGGAGACTCCACACAGAGACACTTGTTGCTGAGATAGCTGCAACCTCTTTCCCTGGCTGAGTTATAGTTGTATAATTTTCCTTCTGTCACATTATTCCCCACCCCTCTGCTACCTGTCACCTGCAATATCTTTTGTTTTAATTATTGCGAGCAGTGCAAACTTTCCAGATGGTTTCCTGTGGCATCAGCAACATAATAAAGTTCAAAACAGTTTTCAAACAGCAGTGACACTTAAAAGGTGTGTTCCAGTCATGGGCGCCACCTCTCTGCCATCACTGTAGCTTGACTAAAGCACAGTATTGTTCAGTATCCAGCAGTAATGTTTGTCTGACACAACGACATCTGGAACTGACAAGATATGATTTACACTGGTCGGCATTATGAACTTCTTATGCACAAAAATGTGGTGTAACTGTAATGCCATGGGTTTACTGCAACCCAGACACCAGAAAAAATGTTGGCATTATACTTTTCTGCAAAACACAGATATCTTACATTTGTGTGTTATTAATAACTTTATTTTTCTTGTATTATTTTCACGCAATTTGTGAACCGCTCTACAGTTACAATCATTTAAAACAATGTCAAGAGCTCAGAAAAATTGTGCGCAGACAGGCAAAAAGAGAACAAAAGGAAATACAAAACAAAAGTTACAAATCAGGCATCAAAAGGAAAAGCTTTCCTATAAAAACATGTTCACACAATGATTTAAAACAACCTTAGCTCCTCAGGCAGAGAATTACAAGCCTCAGGGACGACTGGTGAGGAGAGGCTTGAGGATCTCAGGTCACAACTTGGGGAGAAGTGATTCAGAAGCTCAGCTATATAACTGGGGCCAGACCATGTTGAGCCCTAAAGGTTATCAAAAGAGTCTGAAAATCAGTCCTGAAGTTAACGAGGGCTGCACCTTGAAAGTCGGAGATTTGAATCATCAGTCGGAGACCCCTCAGTCGACTGAGACTGCTTTAAGCCTAGCAGTTGTTTTTTTTTAGTCAGTGTGCTGTGCAGTGTACACCTGGTGACATTTTGGTCCCCAGATTTTGCTGCAGAATTTGCTTAGTGCTCTTGACTTTCACGCTACTGTGGTACAGGGAGCTGGACACATGCAAGAAGATAGACTCCGCACTGTGAGGCTCTGAGATAACATTATCTTCTCTCTTCTGCTTGGTCGAATGTATTGAATTAACAGCTCACGGATACTTAATACGACACAGTCTCTGGCTTTTGTTAGCCCTAAAGTTAATTGTAGGGGATACGTTGAAACTTTATGTTTCTACGACACCATGTTTAACGTGTGGTTTGGTTTGGACACAAAAACTACTTGGTTATGGTTTAGGAAAGATCATGTTTGGGCTTATTGTACCTAGTTTTGGTGGCAAAATCGCAGCTGGAGAAGCCGTTGATGTCCCTGTAAAAAACAACCACCTTATTTGGCACTGTCCCAGCAGAAACACAGTGAAGTCTTGATAAAAAACAACTGCTTTTTGTGGCACTGTCCCTGGATGAAACACAGCAATGGCTGACTAAAAAACATGTATGTTTGGAGCCTATAAAGCAGCTGAAAACATGGCAATAAACTGCTAAGAAAAACAGCCGGTTTTGTTGATTGTTGGTCATAAACATTGGTCTGCAGCTTGGCAGTCGTTTTACCTAGATGTCACACCATCGACCATCCCCTCCACCTCCTGATGACACCTCATGTACATGAAATCAGAACTACATATGATCTGATGCGTATGCAACATACAAATTTAATGTATCTGTGGTTTGCAGAAACGTACAGTGTCAACATTCATTTTAATAACTGGGCTGTTTATTGGCGAATTCACAAATGCACTGCATGCAACTAAATCAGTTTCCCGCTGTTCCTTACTTCAGGATACTTCTGAGGTTCTGGTACTGTAAGTACGTGGAGGTGTTGGTGCAGTATGAGTGTGTGTACCTATACAGACGTCAATCTTGCCCTTGATAGCTGCCTCGTGGAGTGGAGTGTAGTTCCAGTTGTCTCTGGCATTAGCCTCCGCCCCGTGGTGAAGCAACAGGCTCACCACCTACACAAAAACAGCAGGACCAAACTGAAAATGTGTTTGAAGTTTGAAGGAAAATTTACAGGTGGAGGTCGGAGGTGAGGTGTTGTACCTCAGCGTGCCCAAAGGAGCAGGCGTTGTGGAGGGATATCAGCCCTCCGTCGTCCCTGGCGTGCACGTTGGCTCCATTCTGGAGGAGGAAGTCCACAACGTCTTTCCGACCGAAACCTGAGGAGACAGGCAGAGTTCACTGGATAATTCTCAGAAGTCGCAAATCATTCGTAAGCTCTGTAGTTTATAATTCATATACTGCCGGAGTCCTCAGACGTCTTTGTGTCTCGTTTTGTTCTATCACAATAAATTATTCAGTAAATTTACAGTAAAGCAGAGCGCTGCAGTAACGATCGAGGCTTTACAGGGAGGAAGCTCTTTCAGCATTAAACCATCATCATCAAGGTGGTGAAGCACCTAGAGCAAACATCAGGACTTCATTCATTTATTCAGCTGCTTGAAAAATGACTTTGGATTTAAAATGAAAGATCTTGACATCATTACAAATGATTGTGAAAGAGATCCTGGATGGAGGGAGGAAGAGAACTCGATAGAGATAGAGAAAGTCCTGTCCCAGTAACACTTGGTCCTGGACCTCGGGACAGACAGAAGTCTTTGGTCACACGATCTCAGTTCTCTCACGGTGTGATACGGGGAGAGGAGCTCTGTGATGTAAGAGGGGGCGAGGCGGTTTAACACTTTGACAAACATCAGAATCTTAACAGGCAGCCAGTGTAGGGAGGCAAGAACGGGTGTAACTGGCTCCCTCTTTTCTGACCTTGTTAAAACTCTTGCTGCTATTTATAGACTGGATAAATGGGACTGAGTAAAATATAATGAGTTGCAATAGTCGAGGCAGGAGGAAATGAAGGCGTGGATGACTTTCTCCAGGTCAGAAATACGGAGAATTGATCTGAGACGCAGCAGTGTGACACTTACTTTTACTACTTGATTGATTTGTTTGTCAAACTTCACATATCAAATATGACTCCATGATTTTTAACATGAGCTGGTGAAAAACAGTCACAGTTGACAGACGGACGGACAGACAGATAGATACAGTAGACAATGTTTCCAGAATGCATGATGCTGCAAAGAAGCTACATATTTTAAATCTTCGATGCTTCACTCTGGTCCTGAGATATGATATTAAATTATGATGATGTCACAGTGAAGCTGACCTTGGACCTTTTAGATGTAAAATGTCATCACTTCATTATTTTATCCAGTTAGACATTTTTGACATAATTAGCATATGAATAATGTAGAGTTAGGAGAGGAGTTCTGACAGAAAGAGAAGGAGGTCGTCAGTATATAACTGAAACTTTTGTTCTCATTCAGATCATAGGTGGCTTTTATTCTTGATATTTTAAGATGTCCAAACCTGACATGAATGAAACGGTAAACAGAGAAGTACACAACAGACGTAAAGACATCATCAGTGTATCTCACCTGCAGCAAAGTGCAGCGGTGTCGACTTCCTCCCCGCTGTGTCCCGGCTGTTCACGTTCTCGGCCGTCACCAGTTTGCGAGCTCGCTCCAGGTCTCCGCTCCGACAGGCCTCAAACAGCTCCCTCTTGGCCTCCCCCGACCCCCCACCTGGCTCCACAACCTCTGCCACCACTGGCCCCGGGGACACCGCTCCGCCCGCAAGACCGGACACACCTGAACACCTCCGACTGGACAACATGGCCGGTGGTGAACGGCCTCGTCCCAGTTTCAGACTGCTGGTTCTGGAGAATTTGGAGTGTGAGCAGCAGGCAGCAGAACCCCAGAACCCTGCAGCCACAGAGGCCATGCAGGACGATGAGCTCCGCTTCCCTGCAGGGAGACAGGAAACACTTCTATGTTAAAGGGATAGTGAAACAAATTTTGAAAAACACTCCTTGCTAAGAATTTGATGTTTGGACTGATGCCACTTCCATGTCTGTGCAGAAAATATGAAGCTAAGGTGAGGAGACAGTTAGCTTAGCATAGTATAAAGACTGGAAAAAAGGGAAAGAGCTGGGCTGGAAGTTCTGACATCACCATGAGGCAAATTTTTGTATAACCTTAGTAAAACCGCAACTTGTTGTTTTAACACTTTGATTTTGTGCAAATTAAACAAACTACATATAACATGTTCAGACCAAAGATTTGTGATGAGATGATTTGAAACTTGCAACTACTTGCAATATGCCGATCTGCAGTGCTCTGAAAACCTGCCAATTTAGATCAATTTGTCGAGACGTGACGGCGTATCCTCTCCAACATTTTGTAGCTGAATATAATTTGTAGTAATTTGTTCTTAGTGATAGTGGGATACTGGTTAAAGCTGCATTCCTGCCAGGGATAAATCATGAGATTTGGATAGATAGATTTTACCTTTGGACTGAGACAGGCTAGCTGTTTCCCCGTTTCCAGTCTTTATGCTAAGCTAGGCTAAATGGCTGCTTCATATTAAATGTACAGTGTTTCAGGCATCTGATCGGGATGCCCCCTGGGCGCCTCTCATACTTGGCAAAAGTACTTCACTTGGAGCGCTGTGCTCAGCCCACTGCCCCCGCGACCTGGCCCCGGAAAAGTGGTTCAAAATGGAATGGAAGTTGACAGTTGTGCCAATCTGAACATCTAACTCTCAGCAACAAAGAATTAAATATAAAATGTCAAACTATGCCTTTAAATGAATGACTCCCTTGGATAATTTGGCTCCTGGTAAAAACCTCCTGAACAATAAACACTGAAGGAATTTTAACCAGGAGAAGTTTCAGCTGGTTGCAATCTGCAGTCCTCACCACTAGATGCCAGTAAAATCCCACTAAACTTTACAAACTGAACCTTTAAGTGCACTTGGAAGTTACTGTCAATTTAAAGAAATTTTAATTTGAAAGATATATTCAACACAATTTAATTTCATTACTAATATATTTTTGTAAAAACATTTAAAAACAAAAAAAAAAACTGTTCTGAAATAAACCTGAAGTAGAAAATAGTCAAATACACTTAATTGTATTTCAGTATGTCTTAGTAGCACTAATGACACATATCAAGTACTTTACCAGTACTCCGAAAATAGCACTTATATTATGTTTTCAAGGAAGTGTACTAAGTATACTTGAATTAATTGTACTTAAGTGCACTTTTTTAACTTGGGTGTTTATAAATGAGCATCTGGAGCTTGAAACAGGAAAAAACGAGGCACATGATTGAACCATAGTCCAGAAAGATAAAAGTTAATTTTACGAAATATGCATTTAAAGAAAATAGGACTGAATGGGCTCCATTACAGACTCACATAAGACATTTTAATAAACAATGCATATTATTTGCACGTTAGATGCTGCATATCATAGTGCACTGAGATTGGTTACAAACTGTAGAGCCCGCACTCATCACTGTACGCTTTACTCCAGGGCGGGTCGGCCACCTTTGACCTTTCACAGGCTCAGTCACTGGTATTTGTTCATTCATAAAGCCATACTGGGTAACTCCCCTCATACTTTGACTGAACTGAGATCTGACTGTAGCTAGAGTTACTCTCCTGGTTAAATATGAGTTAAATAAATAAAATAAAATAATTGTACAAATGGATCATGCTCTTTATGAAAAAAAAATCATGGCCTGCAAAGTCATTTTAGTTCAATTTAGTGAAGTAAAAGTGGAATTTTTCCCCTTGAAATGCTGTAAAGTTGAAGAATGAATTATAAAATAGAAATAATGGAGTAAAGTGCAGTTCACTGAGATGAAGGATCCCATCATGAGGCACAATAAGATGAACAGGTGTAGAATATCACATCCAGGTTATATAATGACACTACGCGCCTCTGTAGGAATATTACAGGAGTATTACAGGAACATGCTGTGATTTTAGATGAATACAGATCATGTTGGTGCTGTAAGGTTTAAATATAACACAACATCACACTACAGGAGTGTGACTGTGATATTACTGGAGCTGTGATCGCACAGGAGATAAGGAAATACTAGAATTCAAACATGAGCAGGACAAATACACTAAAAGCCCCTTAAATATTATGATGATGAGACAGAAAACCTGCAGTAATGTTGCATTTAAATATGATAATAATGATAAAAGGCGGAATCAAAACAAAAGGCCTGATGTAAACTCACTGTGGAGCACCGCAGACACACCGGGAGACCCTGCAGCGCTCTTACAGGGATATTACAGGAATATTAGAAGAATATTATTTCCGTTTATTGGCCCTCGCTGCGTTAAATCCTCCCCGGCAGACAGGCGGACACGCTCCGGTCCTCCATCATCTTCCTCCTCCGCCTCCAGCTGCGGCTCGTCGGGGAGGATGGAGAGAAGGAGAGGCTGGAGGAAGAGACGCTAACACGGATGTTAAAACACAGAGAGATGAGCTGATGAGGACCAACGTATGGAACAGCCACCCTCCCGTCCACAACAAGCACAAAGAGCGGCTTCATTTGTTCACCTGGGTCTATCCGGGCGGGCGGAGCTACTGTTCATCTTCTCAAATAGAAAACACTGATTATAAAACAGTGTAAAACCTGCATGTACTCACGTACAGCATCCTGCTAAAGTACAATTTGTAGATACTTATTCTTTAATCAGAAATCCGAAATATTTTACTGATCCCAGGTAGAAACTGGATAACGTTACAGTTGCTCTACAGGCGTTATAAACATGAAGAAATGATATGAAAAATAGCAAAAATAAAAAAATAGGAAGTGTATAAATATATGCTATAATGTAGAAGATATAAGAGAAAATAAGAAATAAGTACAAATACGTGCATCACACTTCAATATCTAACCACAGTGTCAATAAAAAATAAAAATGCTGAGAAGTGGGATCTGTAAGTGTGTTTAATATAAATAAGAAGAGTATAAATTTGAATTAAATAAGAATATCAGTTAAAATGTCCAGTATGAATGCGTTTTATTGAAAAAGTATTGCACAGTTTAATTATCAATCAAATTATTGTACAGTCAGTAACTCAAGTATGTGCATTTTTAAAAATATGAGGCCTGGTTAACCCTCATGTCCTCTTTATCAGCTTGAAACAGACCTAAAATTACTGATTGATACTTAATTGACTAAGAAATACTTATAAACATGATTTGGAACAGATGATGTCATCACTGAAAATGTCACATCACTTATATTTTTGGTCTCAGAGCTGCAAAAAGTCAAAAGTCCATACAACATATTAAACAAAAATACTTCCTTTTCTTGTGTATATTTGATCAAGAAATTATCATTAATATCTGTGGGACCCTAGACAATGAGGGAATAAAGCGGATGTTGACAAAAAGGGATAATAATCTATGTGTAGATAAAATATGACTTCATATTGGGCTGATAAACTTATATTTATGTTATTAAAACTCAGAAAATTGTATGAAGAAATTGACATTAGATCTATGGTATCAGCCTAATTAAGTGTAGAAATAATTCTGGTGAACTGGTTTTCTTTTGCTGTTTTTGAGAGTTAAAGAATCCCAAATTGCTTTGAAAGGGAAGCCCCGCCCCACTGTGTGATATGAAGAAGAAATCGAGCGCACCCCGGCCTGTGGGCTCTGCAGACGGCACTCCTGTCGTGCGGCAGGGAGCGCTGTGTTCTGCGCATGTTTGCAGTGTGTGAGCAGAGCTTCACACACACACACACAGATCAGCATGAGCAACCTGCACTGGACCTGAATGCACCACAGAGAGTCGGATGCTGCATTCAGGTGTTGCACTTTGTATTTAGTTTCAAATGTTTTAAAGAGTATTTGTCCTTCACCGTTTTTCAGAGGTATATTTTTTTATGATTTTATTTTCTGTTCACTAAAGTAACAGTGAGGCCCTTTTTTTTCTTTAGTGAGCTTTCCCCGAGATTTGGAGGGGACAGACAGGTTGGTCGCTGACATATTTTTAAGATGACATGAATTATTGTTTGTAAGAAAAGATGAAGGCTAAGGTGAGACTGTGGGAAGGAGTGTGGCGTTGGAGCAGCTCGGTGAGGTAGGAGGGGGCGTGGTTATGGAGGGCTTTATGAGTGAAGAGAAGGACCGATTTGAATGCATTGTGGGACAGGGAGACAGAGAGCGGAAAATCTTGGTGTTTTGGTTTTAAGAGACATTTTAATCATCTTACAGCTTTATGTAATAAGTTCTTTAGTTCCTCAGTTGTGTTTTTCAACTCTGGTCACCCCTGATTTTAAAGGAGCCCACACAGTCTTGTATGAAGACCTTGGGCTCCTTTAACTCTAGGTGGCATCGTCTCTGCATTAATTTTTAAACATTTTTTGTGTTTATATGTAGTTTTTAATCGAAGCTATTGATTTTTATCGGGCCGGCCACAGTTACAGTCGTCAAATCTGGATGTGACAAAGGCATGGACGAGAGTTTCGGCAGCAGAGGGGGAGGGTGATGGGCGGAGACGAGCTATGTTTTTCGGTGGCAGTAGGCAGTACTGGTGATTTGACTGACGTGTTTTTCGAAGGAGAGGTTGCTGTTGAAAATAACTCCGAGGTTGAAGATGTGTGAGGAGGAATGCAGAGTAGAGTTATCAGTGCTGAGACAGAAGTTGTGAGTGGTTTTCATAAGGGATTTGGGAACGATGATGATCATGATAAATTTTTCAAAGTTCAGTTAAAGAAAGTTGGCTTGCATCCAGGATTTGATTTCAAAGAGGCAGGTGGTCAGAGTGGAGTGAGTTCTAGTGGTGATGGATTTAGGTAGATGTAGAGTCGGACTTCATCAGCATAGCAGTGGATGTTGAGACTATGGCTGTGAATGATAACAAGGGGGAGCATGTAGAGGACGAATAGGAGAGGACCGAGCACCGACCTCTGGGGGACGCCTTGGGACAGAGGAGCAACACAAAGATATCCTTCCATTGCACACTGTAGTCCTGACTAATGGCTTCTTGAAGCAGCACCTGGCAAAATGGAACCGGCATGGCCATGTTTCCTTATGTCAAGCTTGTCAGACTTAGCCGTAATTCAGGGAGGCAGGACTTTGGATCTGTCGCAGACTGATGTGGTGTGGTGCCAAGTTTACAGAGACAGGAACACATAGTTGGTATCATGAAAGATCAAGAAGGCTGGGTAAACAGGCTCAGAGAACTCGCTGGAGAAGGTGTAAATGTGACTGAATGTGTCAGATGAGACCTTATAGTAGGACAGAGTGCCAGCAGGCCAGTCCAGATAAACTCCCAGTCGAGTGCAGCCAGTAGCTGGAAAAGGGAAAGAGTGGCGCTCGTTAGCATACTCTGCATAGAGAGTAGCCTTTGGAGATAGTGGGGACCATCGATGGCCGAAACACCAGGACATGACATTCCATCCAAGCCTGCACCAGTTGCCTTTTCCTTTCCTGAACAGTCCTTTGTAGCAAACACCCACAGCAACATCTTCATTGTTGCCAGCACTCCATTCCACCTCCCAGTAACTGCGCCCAGTAAGCCCCTCCCTGCACAGAACCTGAGGAAGCTTTTTGAATCTCTGTGGGAGGTCAGGGTACGACTGTGGTGGTCCATGTGTTGCCCTCTTGTTTCCCTCAGACAGAACGAGGTGGTTGTTTGCTGTGTTTGGGTCCAGGGTGAGATCGCAGACGTCTGATGAGAGAACAAAACGTCATGATTACAGTTTACAGCATTTGTCCAAGTTAATAATGGCACGACATTCCTGCCTTGAACAGGCAGTGTAAATGGGGCTGTGGATATGCTCTGAATGTCATGTACAGCTCCTTTAACTGAAATTGCTTTAGAAAGTGATCTCTTTGCCACCAGTATGTACAGGAGGAACAGTTGCAGCCACCAATGAACATTTTGGATTGTGGGTATTTTTTGACGAACTTGAACAAATGTGAACTCAAATGTGAATCAAGAGTATTTTCAAGAAAAGCATCACAGAGTCAGTAAGTAATAAAGGTTACGGCCAATCAGGTTTCTGAAAGAGAGTAATTTGTTATTATTTGTCTGACAATAAAAATTAAGTACTTACACCAGAGTAAATCTCTTCTGTCTGTTACATTTTCCACATCAGTGACATCAGGCTGTGAGAAGTCTTCAGTGACCAGAATGCTGTTCTTGTAGTGGTAGATGGTTGCCCCTTTGTACTTCTCATTTGCAATGGCCGCTACAAGGAAACAGAATCTGCTGCTGTTCTTCAGTGCTTTTGCAAGATCATGGAAAGCTTTGGCTTTTTTTCTCATTGTGGTTATCACTTCTTCTGAGAAGTACCACTGTTCTTTTGCAGGTGGCATGGCACCCGAGGTTCTGTCTAACTTAAATAGATCCACGTAGTGAGCAAGTTTCTGAAGGTAGGGGTCAGTAGTTTCCAGGGAGGTGAAAACAAAGCACAAAACATCGTCTACACTTGGAGCAAGAACCTGTCTGTCGAGCTCTGACTGATCTGGGACGATCTTTGTTCCCTCCATCATCTCTACACAGGACCTGATGACATTGAATTCTCTCTCTTTATCATCCATCCACTTGATTAATTTCTCATGACTGAACAGTGTCTTGTTTCCGTCATCGAAGACCTTTTCTAATTTGCTTTCATCTTCCTTTCCTGTCCTGATCAATGGAAGTTTCTTTGCCATGGTCTGTTGGAGTGCAGATCTTAAACAGACACAGAGTTTCTGGAAACTGCTCAGCTTTTCATGAATTTGTGGAAAATCTTTCACTACTTTGTCCTGCAGAAAGTCATTGCATCCTATTTCCAGATCATGCAGGTTCTGCAGAGCTTTTTGAGCCTTTCTCACCAGTCTAACGCTGACCCCACTCGTCAGCTCAACAGCTTTTAGATACAGATTCTTCAGTGGCATCAGCCAGACCTTCACTGGAACACTGTTCTCTCAATTTTCTCCCAGCAGCTTTGAAAGTTGTACATAGGTCTTCACTGCATCTTCAAATGTTGTAGGGTTGCTTTCAAGAATGAAGTCTCCATAGAATTTGCAGGAGAATTTCTTGGTCAGGTCTTTTTCCTCATCACTCCGCTTCATCTCTACTTTCCCATCAACATTACATGAGGGGATCTTCATTATTACAGCTTCCATGCTGCACTGGACGTCCTTAACGTTGCTGGCATCTAACTTTTCACTGTGAAACACAAAGAAAGCGTTTGCACCGTAAAGGATGCCGGTGACTACATGTGTTGCAAAGCCCTTCTCAAGAACATCCATCTGTTGGGGGCTCATGGTTGCGAGGTGAGTCACTGACAACTGTTTGAAGTTGGTGATAGCTTTGTACTGACATGTCACTCTGCTCTGATTCTTGAATTTCTTCTTATCATTCAGATACTTGGCAGATCCCTCAGCTTTGATCAGCCCACACAGGAAACTGCCTTTTAGGGAGGCATCAATGTCCAGTTGAGAGGACTTGTCTTCAATACAATCAGATGTTGTTATCTCAAATTCACTACTGTGCTGAGAGCTTGTAACTGTGTTCTTCTGAAGAGTTGCTTCATCCCACAATGTGAAACCTAGAGACACAGAGCATGTGTCAGCAAGCAAAATTATATAATAATATAATAATAATAATAATAGTTGTATTTTGTAAATATTCACTTATGTTTAGAGCTAACGTGGATCTTTTGAAAATACATATGCAAAATGAATAGAAGACATAAAATACATTAAACTAAGTTAAAACAATATAAATGATAAAAGAATCAGTAAAAGATATTTTTATTTGTCTGATAGAATTCAGGTGATCTGTATACAATCTCAAAACAACTTCCATTGGGATAAATAAGGGGGTACCACAAGGTTCTGTGCTAGGTCCTTTTCTGTTTACACTCTGCATAAACAATTCAAGCACATACACTTATATTTTTATGTAATACACTTTTATGTGGATGACAGTCTTGTATGCATTAAGCTTCTATTCAACTTAAGCTCTACCAAGATTACAATCTGCCATCCTCAATCTATATTCAGTTCACATTCTTAAGACATCTTTGCATAGTCTTTGCAAAGTACAACAAAAAGAAAATGAAAAAGAATTAGGAAAGGAAAATCAATCTCATCCCGCTGACAGTGTAAACAAATCATTACATCTGTGGAAGTGTTGTTATGGTACTAAATCCCTGCATGAAATATTTTCACAAACAAAGTTTCTTTGAGTGAACCAGCTGCAAAAGAATCACAGGTACCCCTTTCCCCCTAAATTAGCTCTGGTTCTTAAACCTCTTCTGTTCAGGACTCTTGGACTTGCACAATGGATGTAATCAGTAGTAGCAAGATGGCGGACCATAAAGAAGATGTAGACTTCTCATAGACTCCATCCTCTCTTTCCAACCACGAATATAACATGCCCACTGATGCTGCCAAGGCTGCCTGTTCAGATCAAGGAAAACCTGCTGTTTTTTATTCCAGCTGGAATCCAACTTTCAGGTTCCGAACCCATTTTATTTTTGGTTAAAATGTGCTGAATGGTCCAAAATTAAGTGTGGGAATTGAACAGACTCTTCCATGTTGTGGAGGAATTCAAGAACAGTGTATAAAGCTCAAGACTTTGGCACCAGAGCACTTTGGTTAGGGTTAATGAAAATGTACTGTTTTCTTTAAATAATAAACACAAAAGTCACTACTAACTTCATTTGTATTAAACCAGACCACAGTCTTTCCCTACCCTCAACCAAGTGCTGCCAGTGCCTTCACATAACCATCAAAATCTGAATATTGCTGTAGTCATTGCAGGACAATACTGTATTACAAGAAAGGAAATTTTGGTTGAAAACAAATGAAATGTTCAATTTTTTTTAACTTGCCAAATATTTTCATTAACAACGTGTTCATTATGTCGATAACAAGCGTAATCTAATTGGTGTAACTTTTCCTTCAAAACATATTTGCTGTTGTAAATCAGGTGAATATAAACATAATTTCTAGGTGTTAGGGTTGCCTGAGGGTGAGTCACCACACCCAGCATCACTGCTGGGTGTGGTGACTCACAGACAGATAGATACCTGTGTAAGTAATTATTTTATTTCCCCGTTTTCCCAGTCAAGATTTACCTGGGATAAGTTCATCTTTCCGACCATCATACAGCATTCCTAAGGTAAATGGTTGGCCCAGGGCAGCCACCGCCATGTCAATCGAGGACCAGTCTTCTCACTGTTGGTAAAAATTTAACAGCAGATGTCAGTGTACAGTGATACAGCCTCCAACCTTTTATCCAGGAAATGAGTGTCACAACCGCCAGAGCACGTTAGTTTTGAAAGTATTTTCCAGTCCAAAGTATACAGACAAAAAACTGTCTCCACCCAGTTTGTCTTCAGCTGGTAAAGATGTGTAAATCAGCTCAGTTTTAACTTCCAACTGGAGAATAGTGGAAAGAGGCTTTAATAGATGTGATATGGTCTCTTTTCCGGGGTAGCTGTGAGGGGCCTGGCAGTGGCGTTCTGAACAAGGTGAAGGACTGACTAATACTGAGGGGACGATGCAGGAGCTGAGAGCGACAGACTGAGCAGGCAGGTGTAAAGACTTCCCAGACCAGCAGCCCAGGTGAACCTCCTCTCGCTGATTACCTCCACTCTGCTTGGACTTGTTCCTGAGAGGAGAAAAACAAAAGAGACAAAGCAAACCAAGCCAAGCTGGATAAAAAAACAGATCTGCATTAGGTTGCAGACCTTTACTGAATCTAAAGGGACCGTTAAGAGAGAAACTGATAACTCTCCTGCAGCATTCCTGTCTGCGTGTGTTCATGTGATCTGAGGCTGCCAAACTGGTTCAACGTGTGAGAGAGCAGAGAGGGGAAGATCAGCTGGTGTAGTGAATTATCTGTCCACTAGATGGTGCACATTATCCATCAACTCATGAGGCCCACGTCTAAGTGCAGTGAAGTACAAAACAGAAGATAACACAGCCAGAGATTTTACTTTGTTTTGATTACAACTTGACACTCAGACTTTTCTCTGATAACTGCACCTTGTCATTGGCTTCTATGAACATTTTCTCTGTTTAATCTCAGAAACTCTGCTCAACCAACAGCGGACATCACAAAACTGTTCCTAAAGATCCTAAAGTAGTTTCCAAAGACACCAAATATGTCACCATGATTTTTGTGGAAAAAAATGTGTCTAAAATGATGCAAACAGATGAAAAGAATACCTCAATGTGAAGGAATAATGGAGCCACAGAGTTTAGATTTGAATTTTTCACTGAGCTGGAACAATATGATTTTTAATATCCAGGCGAGAGGAAAAGACTGGAGCACACTGATCGCTGTCCTTGAGCTTGGAGGCACCTGATTTGGCTGCATGCTGCTGGATGATGATGCACTGAGAACCCTTTTCAAATGATTTAGAATTTGCAAAACTCCAAGATAGAGTAAAAAGATTTTTTTTCCCTTTATCAGTACGGATGATTATAAATTGACTGCACGCCTGTGCATACAGACTCTGCCCTGACGAGGCAAACTTTACCTCTTTACTTCCTTACTTTTCTTTCCTTCTCCTCACGAGCGTCACCTGGGATCCGCCAACAGACCACAACATTACAGCAAGTGGCCTCTGGCACCATTTTCTCTAAGATAAGAGTTTTTCTTTTCAAATGTCCCACCTTGAGGGGAAAATTTAGGGGCAAATCAAGAATTTAAGAAGATCAGTACCTACAACAGCTGTTGAAGATTTGCTCAGACTAAGGTGCTGATTTTGACAACAAGTATAACGCCAAAAAGAGCAACATTATGATTGTTAGAAATAAAGAAGACAGATGTTATGTACCCAGTCTAAGGGAACCTCCCTACTCTTCCCACTCCCAAGGACGGCCAGTTACACAGTATTTTAAACAACAAAGAAAGCAGTTTATTCGTCTTCAGAGTTGAGCAGTGCCCAAAACAACAAACAAAAATATACTAATGGACTCTAAACTTACCCTGCGAAAAAAAAAAAAAAGTGAAGCAAAAGACAATTTTCTAACCTGAACTTCTACCATTCAAAACAAGAGAAGAGAACATGGCGGTGCCAAACAAAAAGGGCTTCTCACTCTTACTAAAACTGCTTAAAGTGCTCTATTTACAGTGCTCAACAAAAGAATACAAGAAAATCCACTAATAACTCTGATAATAAATAATTAACCCATCTACTCAAAACTGACCAAATAACTTTCCTAGATGACAAAGTTATCAGAATACACCCACTAGTTTACCAGATTCAGAAGTTTTGCCTGCAGGTACTCACAAACAGTTTCACAATCATAATCTAAGTTCTGGTTCTGTTGGTAGTGGAAGAGTGAAAAGGAAGGGAGAGCTTCGATCAGCTGGTGGTTTAAAAATCTTCTGTCTTGCAGTGGACCAATCCAGTGACAGCAATCTCCTCGGACAGCCCAATCAGCACACACCACCTGCCTTGCAACATCCAGTCACACTCAATTCAATGCATACACTCCGAGAGGAGGAGAGAGAACATCTGACGGATCACTGCAGACCAATATAAAACATCAGTACCAAAAAATTATGACCACACAGAAAATTATTATTTCCTGAAGTCTTGCTCTTAAAGTTTGTAATGAGATTAAATATCTTGGTCATTATATTGTCAATGATTTATCTGATGACAAAGATATCCACAGACAGTGTCACAGGTTGTATGTGCAAGTGAATATGCTCGCTCGCAAATTCAGCATGTGTTCCGTTAATGTGAAGATGGAGCATTTTGTACATCACTGTATACTGCCCACTCATGGCGCTCCTATAGGAAGAACAAAGACTTAATGTGGCCTTTCATGATGGAATGAGACCGCTTCTAAAACTTCCATGATGGTGCAGTGCCAGTCAAATGTGGGGCCACTGGCTCTCAGCCTGTTTGTGGCCACAGTTTATTGAATTTGTCTTTTTATATGAACTTGGGCATTTCTTGTTTTTTTAATATATATATTATATTATTATATCATACTTTTGCACATAGATGATTGTTTTTTCATTTGATGTGGATGCTATGGACCTTTTTCTGTGTCCTTACTAAAGTAATAAAGCAAAGTTAAAAGCATACCGATCTTGATGCTTTGAGTATCAGCCAATACCCGATACCAATCCGATACCATGGTTGACCTAAAAAGCTATATACTTTGTAGTACAGAAAAGACTAGAGGCATCAGGCATTGATGACTACACAGTTCTTTCGGAAGATAAAATGAAACAAGATGAAACAGATTAATTCAATGATGAACTATTTATTTTTAAGAAAAATAAACAATTGTGCAACAGCAGTTGAAATAGTGTGAAATACATCCACACAGCAGATTCTCTCCTTCGCTCCATGACGTATGTCCTAACTCACGTCGCAATAGATTTAAAGGGAAAGGATCGCCTCAGGTATAGATTGCATTTTCCGATACCTGATACATCTATTTTGATTATATCGCCGCCGATATTCGATCCAGATATCGGATCGGTGCATCCCTAATCAAAAATACAAAAACAGATATAACTCTGTAAAATACACAAATCAATAACAAGATGAGACGTTTTCTACAGTCATTATTTTAGGAGAAGCTCATTCCATGTCTTCGCTGTCTTTGTCGGCTGTCATGGACTTGAGTTCCTGCTGGGTGGTGGACTGAGTTCCTGACGAGGACACTGCGTTCTCCTGGTTGCCTGCATCCTGTCTGCAGCGCAGGGTGCGGGGCAACGAGTTGCACAGGGCCTTCCTGAACATGGAGCTGGAGAAGACGTAGACGATGGGGTCCAGGGCCGAGTTCAAGAAGTTCAGCCCCAGAGACACGATGGTGAGCTGGGTGAAGGTGTAGAAGGTGGCGCAGTCCGACGGGAAGTACGAGCGGTTGACCCACAACCCGATGGTCGTCACCGTGGTGGGTAAGAAGCACACCATGAACACTGCGACGATGGCAATGCACACTCGCATTGCCTTTCGCACCTTGTCTGGTTTTCCCATCTGTCGCTTCCTCAGGAAGCTGGAGATCCGGATGGAGCAGAAGAGCAGCATGGCCATCGGGATGAAGAACTCCAGCACCGTCAGGATCCGGTGCATGCCGACCAGGATGATGATGGCCCGCAATGCCTCTTTGTAAGAGGTGAAGAAGAAGCACTGGGTTTTGTCGCCGCTGCCCTTGATGTGGTTGTAAGCCAGCATGGGAACCCGAGGGCTCATCACCAGCAGCCAGACAAACAGTGACACGAATACAGCCTGACGTTTAGTCATACGGTTGAACCGGTGGTGAGGGTGGACCACCTGGAGGAAGAGCACAGTGATGGGGCGTCATTTCACACCATGTGGAGCAAAAATGTGTCAAAGAGCTGATATTATACTGTCACATGACTGAATAGAGTCACAGTGAAACCTGCCCTCATACAACGGTTTGTATGATATCCTATGAATAAGCCCCCACAAATGACGTTACATACTGAGTGTAAGCGGTTAGGTTTAGAAAAATAAACATGGTGACCAATGTACCCAAAGTTCACATTGATCCAAACGCAAGTCCACTGGGGAAAGTCCTGTATTAAGTTCTACTTGTGGGTCAAATTGATGCCGTATCTATGGCGTAGAAGCATACCCTATGCTGTAGCCCCACCGCCATCTAGTGTTTTGAAGGTGTAACTGCAGTGACACAGACATACTATTGAACAAGTATAAATTCCCACAACTCTGCGTAGAGCTGTCACACAACTATAAATCCGCCTTTATGGGGATAATTCCGTCTGTACTTCTTTACTTTAATCAGCACATTGGTCACTTGATCGCAGTCTTCCAAAATTTGGATTAGACACAAATTAATGGCTCATCATTATGTGGGATATGTACAAATTTTGGTGCATTACTTTTCACAGGAAAACATATGAACGGTGCCTAAGAACAGCAAAGTGCTGCTGTGTTTATAAACCAGCTTCTGTTCCAGCAGCATGAATATTCTCATACAGGGTTTATTTAAATTAGCAAAGATTAATGAGTATCAGCTACTGTACTGGATTAAATATAATGACTTATTTTTACACTTGAAAAAAGAATATTTCAAAGTCTCCTGGGAGGCTCCTGGGAAAATGAAGCAGACTTTGGCTTTCTATCGTTTGAGTGTCTCAGCTGAACATCAGTGGATGGATGACTCCACACAAAGCTTTAACTGAATGTAAATGTACTTTACTGCAGACAAACAGCAACACTGGTTATGATTTAATGAGTCATTGCTGTGTTTCCAGCGTGTTTGTAGGCACCAAATGTGGGTGTTTTGACCTGTCACAGGATAGTGCCAAGAAAAGTAGTTGTTTTTTACCAAGACATTGCTGCTTTTTCAGCTGGTGCCTCCAAAAATGGTGATTATGAGCCAAAATATGATCTTTTCACAACCACATGTTAAGCATTGTTGAAAAGTAAAGTTTCAGTGTGAAGTTTCAATGTATCCGCTACATAATAATGTGCAAAAATGTAATATATATGTGGTTTGCACAAACATTCAAAGCCAACATTTGTTCTGGCGATTGGGTTGAGTTGGGAAACAGTCAACAAACAATGCCCTTAAACTCCTGGAACTAGTGGTTACCTTAAAGTAGCGGTAAATTGCCACCACGGTCATGAGAGCGATGCTGGCCGAGCGGTTGGAAAACATCAGGAAGAGGTTGATCCGGCACAGGCCGTCTCCAAACACCCAGTAGCCCCTGAGCAAGGCATCGATCCTCAGCGGCAGACTCACTAGAGCCAGGAAGTCGGCGATGACCAGGTTGAAGAGGAACAGGTTGTTGGGGTTCCAGGACTTCAGTTTAAAGCAGAAGATCCACAGGGCCATGATGTTTCCCAGCAGCCCCAGTACCACGTCTATGGTGAGGACTGGAGGGAGGATCAAACCCTCTAGTTGAATACCGACCGGTGGGCAGCCGCCGCCTCTACCACCACCACCAGGGGCCGGGGTCGTCATGTTCAACACTGAGGAAGTGATGTTTCCATTTGGCTCTGATAGCATTTTGGCTGATTGAATTTTAATTTTGTATCATTAACTTCCTTCTAAGCAGAGTAGATGATTCAGTGTGGTGGCAGAATTTGGCAAGATGACTAGAAAGAGATTATTTTTAGTTTCAGCTGTGGGTTTGTTGGTTGACTAAGTAGGAGGAAAATAACTGTGTGACCACACCGAGGAAAGTTTCTCGATTAGGGAAATTTAGCACTTCCTCTTTTCACCTTCTTTTTTTCTGTTGAATTTAATCTGTTGAAAAAAACAAAGAGTATGTTGGTGTGTGTACATGAACATGACCTAGTTGAACTTCTCCACAGGACAGATGAAAAGGCATTTTTATACCAAACGTAGTGACATGATTCTGATATCAAACATCGTCAGAACATTTTAAGAGAAGTAAGTCTTGATAAAATGATTTATCATGATCTATTTTCAATATAAAGTCCAGTTTTAAAGATATTTACATTTGCACCTGAACATCTTTTTTGTTTCCAAAATGTATTTACCAAATTAAAAAACAGTTACAACTCTGGACATTGAAAACTATCACAAACAAACTTATCATACAGGATATAACCTTAATGATGAAATGTAATATTCATTCGCAACATTAGAAACATTAGAAAACCATAAATCATAAAATACTTTTCAACAACAACCAAACTGTTATGAAAATATATATTTAAAATGTGTAGAATATATAAACCTTTCATTACATCTACTGCAGCATGTTGCTTATTAAAGAGTTTCTACTGAAGAAAAGGTAATTTCTTATTTAACCTCTTTGCCATTTTAATCTCATGTATACAGGTTACACACATTAAATGACTGAAATATTCAGAACTCACCACTCTGACGTTTCATTCATGAACTGCTCATAAACCTCCGTCTGTGTATTTGTATGTCCGCTGCAGGAGGAGGTTCCTGTGTGGTCGACTTTCATCACCCGTCAGTTGTCAGGCTGTTACCACAGTCGTACTGGTACACATAGTACAGCGACACATTGAAGATCAGAAATCCTGCGTGATGCCTATTTCTTAAGACATTTCACCAGGGGTGTTTTTCCATTTTTAGAGGTTGAGGAGCAAAACTAATCTCACTAACATGGTAT